AGTTCTGATGATTTTTCCCTTTATAAATGTTGTGTTTTCTCTGACACCTTTTAAGAATCTTCTGTTGTCTTGGATGATGTGCCATGGAGTTATTTTCTGATTGTGACTGTTTGGGTTCTCTGTATACCTTCCTTTTCTCTGTGTTTAATTTTTTCCCTGTATTTGGAAAATTTTCTACTGCTACTCCTATAAATAGGTTCGTTACACCATTTGTGCTACCTTCTGATTTTTCACTAGTTCCAGTTAAGTTTAGATTAGTTTTCACACCATGTAGCACCTGTTGGATCCATTTTTTTTTTTTTTTTTTTTTTTTTGTCTTTTTCCTTTTTTATCGGTACCAGGGATCGAACTCACGACTGCCTGCTTACAAGGCAGGTGCTTATGCCGCTGAGCTAAATCCCCAGCCCCTGGATCCATTTTCTTGTGCATCAGCCCTGTATTCAAGTTTTGATACTCTTTCCTCAACGTTGGACACTTCTGTTGCCCATACTTTCAATAGAATGTTTTTTCTCCTGGATGTCTGTTTAGTACCTTTTCATGAGCTCTTGAGTCTTTGGCAAACTGGTTATTCATGTTTTATTTTGCTCATTTACCTTTTTGTTGTCTCTTACATAAGCTCCCTGTTCAATTTTATTAAGTTCATCATCTATTTAAGTATATTGTCTTTGAGCTTACCAAGAATCTTATTGATCTGGTTTTATCTCCCTGTGTTCCTTACAATTCAGCTGTTTGGCTTTTGATGTCCTCCCCATGATGCCTTGGTTTTGTCTTTTCGAAACAAGGTTTCACTGTGCAGTTAGGCTGGCCTTGAATTTGCAGCAGTCCTCCTCCCTCAGCCTCCTGAGTGCCTTGATGACAGGTGTACCTTGGGAGTTGGGAGGTATTGGAGGCATTTTGTCACCTTATTTTCCCTCGTTTCTATTGGTGGTTTTGTTTTTGTTGGTGCTGAGGGTTGCAGGTTGATTATAGTGGAAAGACTTTGTTGCTAGCATAGATAGATCTCTTTATTTTGTGTCTGCTTTCTGGCGATGCATTCTAGGCTTACTTGTCAGTAGGCCTTTTTCTCTGTCCCGAGATCTGATCACCTCCATTAATTCAAGGAGGAGAGGGAACAGAGTCATTGGCCTAGCACACAGTTCTCCAGAAATGAACTATATAGTATTGTTGATGATACCAGGTAAACCAGATATTGGCATGCAGTAAAAACCAGTTAAGGGCAAAGATTCTGCCCCCCAGCAATAGTAATAATGTTAACAACCAGAGGCAGATTGGATATTGACATACCATAAGAACCTATAAAAGCGGGGGCTGGGGATTTAGCTCAGCGGCATAAGCGCCTGCCTTGCAAGCAGGCAGTCCTGAGTTCAATCCCTGGTACCGATAAAAACGAAAAAGACCAAAAAAAAAAAAGAACCTATAAAAGCTATCTTTGTACCACTCTTAGCAATAGAAAAGATATCTGTGGTTACAGAAACAAAGACAAACCAAATACTGACACATAGGAGACAACTACTAACTGCCCCAATTAGATCACCTTTAACAATAGAATTCAAAAATAATAGCACAATCAACTAAATATCTAAAAATTAATAAAACTTAATAGCAATACTAGTAAAGATGGAAAGGGTAGAGAAGAGAAAATGAAAGAAAGTTTGAAAAGTACATAGAAGTCAGATCATAAAGAAGAGGAAAAAAAAGACGTAAAGAATCCTAAAAGGAGTAAAAAAATGTTAATACAATTAGGTAAAAGTCAACAGCCAGGGATTTAGCTTAGTGGCATAAGCGCCTGCCTGGCAAGTGTGAGGTCATGAGTTCAATTCCTGGTTCCAAAAAAAAGTAAAAAGTCAAAAGAAAACAGAAAACAAGAAACTAGAAAGAAAAAGCAGCAAAATAAGAGAAAAACAAAAAAAGAAGAAAACACCCCCCCCCAAAAGAAAAATGAGTCCAAAAAAACTTTCCATGTTTTTGAATGAGTCCTTTCTTCCCAAGATCTGTGGTATTAGAATCCGCCAGATATGGAGGAGGGATAGAGAGTCACTACTCACTTTGCACTCTGGTGTGAATTTTGAATCCTGCTCTCTCTGTTGCTGGGTATGGTTGGTTAATGGTGTCCACTGTATGCACTCCCGGTGTTCCCAGTTCCAGTGTTCTCTGCGTACCCCAGGTCATAGCTTTCTCTGCCCACCTTTACAGCCTGTGGCTTTGTGAGGTGTCCTCCTTGGTCTAAGACCCTCCTGTCTTTATACCACGATCTGTGGGAACTTCCAGCCTGAGGAATATCCTTAATCACATTGGCAGATGGGGAAATCAAATAGATCACTGAGCTCTGTGTCAGATTCAGGCAGCAGGGCAAAGGGGTGACTGTCCAGCATTCTGCTGCTCTTAATGCCAGCACTTTCCTACCCATCTCTCTCTGAAAGCCATGTGCACCCAGCCTGGCTTCTCAGTTTCAAGGACCTCCCACCCATGTCTTTCCTGGTTTGACTGTAAACTTTTAGGGGCCTACTTCTGTCTCACTCCCTCTCTGCAACTGTTTCTTGTAGCCATCTCCCACTTAGTCACTGTGGTATAGAAGGAAACCTTGAAGTTATTTTTGTACTTGTTCTTTATCTCAGTGTTAATAAGTCACCTGCCAAAATGGTTCAGTAGTGTGGATTTCTATTCCATCTCTAGTGTGCCACATGGAAGGAGTCACTTTTGGAATAAACTCCACACTGCTTTTGTAGTTTACAGTTACCACAGAGTATTCCTAAGGCTAGAGCTGCCAGTGTGGTCTGTTCTCCCTGAAGCTGATGACCCTCTCTGCTCTTACTTGTGTTGTCAGAGACAGGGTTCAGGATAAACTTTCCGAACTGCCTTATTCTTTTGTGCTGTTTTTTCAGCTCTCTGCAGTTAGTTTTCCTGTCAGTTCCTCCCAATTCTTAAAGGTCTACTTGGTTTTCTCTTCACCAAGTTGTTGTTTTCCAGATATCTCAATTCCATGTCCCTATAAAAGAATTTAATCAAGATATTTACCTTTTTAAGAATTTGCAAGTTGTCTTTCATTCTTTGCCAAAATAACCTTTGTGTATTAATACAACTCAAACTTGTTTTAATATAACGTTACATTTTCTAGTGTAATGTTCAACATGAAGTGATCCCCGTGCTGATTTTAAGTTCACTTATTGTTCAGATGTTTGTTGCATAAGTTTAGTTTACCTTTTCCCTCTTTCATTGCATAATAAGATTTTAAAATAGGATTTGTGCTAACCCCTATGTAGGAGAGTCTAATATTGTATATTATGTATCAATATTCCTTATATATAGATAGTATCTGCTTGTAAATGTATAGCAATCTTTTCAAACCTAAGGCTTTAAGAATTTATCTATTTAAAAGCCCAATTTGGATTTTTTAGGTACAGTTAGTTCGTGCTTACAATTTTCTTCTGAGACAGTATCACCTTTTTAAGCTGGTATTCTTTCTTATTCTTGTCAGTTATTAAGACCATATTGGGACAAGAACTGAATATTTCTCTAATTTCCATTTTTTGTGTCCATTGCTCCAATTCCAGTTGAAAATTACCATTAAGAACTATCATCCTTTGCTGAGCCTAATCTAGTGATCAAATTTGTGAGCAGAAGCTTTAAGAAAGTATCTTCTCTGATTTTCCCCCACTGCAGTAAATACCCATTGTGTTAGGCATCGCCACTGTGCCATTCATTTGGTACGTGTTTTGGGGGTTTTTGTAAAGTTCTCAGCAGTGGACAGTATACTAAAATGTATTTAAGGAACATAGGAGGATATCTGTAGTATAGTCTATTAGTGGCAGAAAGAGTATGGTATAAGAAAGTATATTCTGGCTCTGCCATTTGTCAATTTTTAAAAATTTTGAAGATAGTAAAATACAACAAAACAAAACAGAACAAAGCCAATCAAGACAAAGCAGTGCAGTTGGTACAGAACTTCAGAGCAGGATACAAGGATATAATAATAGGTACCATTGTTATCTTCACAATAGTTGCCCATTGAATCAGGTATAGCAAAATCAAGCCACAAAGAGAACACTATAAAAACCAATCAAAACGTAATATTGAATAGAGCAAAACAATCAGAACAAAGCAAATCAGTGAAAACAATATTTGCCTTCAAAGACAAGGTAGAAGGAAGTCCCCCATATTTACTATATTATATACTGTCATCCTCCCAAGAAATGCTCCGATCTCTGGCCCCAGGTCAGCATAATCAACTAAACAATATGAGCAGTTAGTTGCTTTATGGACCTTAGTTGCTGTCAATTCCGGCTGTCCTTGACACCATCCAGTTGCTGGGGGTGAGTGGGCCACAGAAGGTTCGATTCTCAGCCCGTGCACCAGTAGGCTCACAGGAGACACTGACTAATTCTCTTCTTGATGCGCCTGAGTCCCGTAGGGGCCACTTACCAGGAAGACTGGCCTGTTGCTTTCTTGGTTGATCCCCCAAGTTGTATCATGGCTGATTCTTGGCTGCCGCTGACTTGTTCTTTCCCTGGCACGCCCTTGGCTCACTTGTGCCCCATTTGTAAATTTTTATCTGTAATTTTGTTTGCTTTCTTTTCTCCCCTTTTTTTCTTCCCTGTCATCATCAGTTTATGGGAAAATAATGTGCTCTTTGGAAGTCATCAGAATTGAATTAGATAAACATATATTAGGTGCCTGCATAGAACAGGCACTCAGAATGGTGTCTGTTACTCACCAGGAAAGAATGAAAGGTTGACTGAAGATGTAGCTCAGTGGTGGAGCACTTGCCTTGAGAGGGGTTGAGAGGGATAGAGCCCCAGGACTACAAAGAAAACAAGAAGAAAAGTAGCACTATTATGAGTGAGTTAGCAAAAGAGTAAGCTGCAGGAGATACATGCAGGTGGGAGAGGCAGAGAGTTTTCTCCATTATCGTAAAGTTGGGTTTATCTGTTTAAAAGATTATATAAGTTCCTGTCCTAAATTGAAACCATTTTTTCTTTTATGCCCACCCTGTCTCATTATAGGTTTATTAATTGGTTTTCTCATCATTTAAGTAACTTTCAGTTTCGCTGGAGCTGGGAAGATTGGTAAGTATGATCTTTTCTCTATTGTTAAAATGCTTAACACAGTCCCACCAATTTAATCCCCTGGTGGTACATGTGTGACTGTCTCATTGGGTGGCTCATACCATTGATGGTACAAATGAATCTAATCAATTTTATCAGTCTTCCTAATAATAAAATTAAATCAGAGCTACCAGTAGAGCGATATACAAATTAAATCAGATTCCTGGCAACTGCACATACAAATTTGGGCCTATCATGAATGAGTTAAAGCTATAACTTCAAAGTAGTCTTTATTGGCTAAAATATTTAATTTCTTCCATGTTAGTTTACTGTGTATAAATGAAAAAATAGAAACAAACTATTAGTTAATACAAGTTAGAGATGAGTGCAAAAACTTAAAAAACTACATTTCTTTCTTAGGTCAGATTGTCTGGCTCAAGATCCTGAAAGTCCCAAACCAAAGTTTGTAAGAGAAGTTTTAGAAAAATGTATGAGGTAAGTTCTTTGTGTTTTCGCCTTATTTTAAGTCTCCTAGTTTTGCTGAGAGGATTTTTTTCCTCCCTTATCTCCATATTTGTAATACATGTGTTCAGAATATTATTTTTAAAACCTGGCTCTTTGCCTATCTTCCATCTCATATTTTAATCCAGATTTAAATGAAAATTAATGAACTGTACTGTCTAGATTCTGTGTGAATTAAGCCAATCAATTTTTTAAATATGCTATAAAATGTTCTCAAAGTTTTAGCAAAATTGCCAAGGTAGTACGTAGAACTCTGTATTCCGTAGGCCTGAATTCCCTAGTTGCTAGCATTTTATCGTGTTTTCTGTACTGCCCCTCCTTTGTCTCCCCTCTCCATGTGCATTTCAGCTCTTTGAGATGTTAATCTTGGTGACCTGGCCTGTGTGTTCCAACGTTCTCCATCTTAACTTGATCAGTTTTCTCTTTGTCATTAATGTTTTATGGATATTTTGAGTTTGTACTGTTAATCTTCAGAGCTCACCTCTGCACTAAAAATTGTTTTTAACAGCTTCCACAACAGTGATTCCCACATGATGATTCTCTTCCTATTATTTTTTCTACCTTTATTAGTTGACATTCTGCTACAAGAAAGCTGTCTGCTTCCAATTTATTTATCCTTTAATCGTCAGTAGTGGCTAATGCATTTTTCAATCATTATGTGTCATCATGTCTCGTGGGAAGTGTCTGTAAGCTCTGTGTTGTCTTCTTTTTTTATATATGTCCCCTAATATTCATTGAACATTTCCTATTTCTAGTATAAATTTTCCAAGTACATGTGATATTCCTTTGTTCCCTAGAATCATCTATTCAGAGCACCCTAGTTTGTAAAAAAAGAGAATGCAGTATTCAGGAACCAAGACCTGGGCCCTTGACATGCCCATTGTTATTGGACTGTTACTGCTTCTAGGCTGTTTCTAGGCTATTTTAGGCTGACTTGTATACATACACATGCATATGTGTCTATAAATATTTATAACCAACTGTTCAATTCCAGCCCAGCATTTTTTCTACTCTTTCAGTATGATGTGACTTACAAATGCCTTCCCAAGCTGTTCTTAGCTCCTGTTAGCCTTCATATTATGTGATATAACTAGTCTTCCAACCATGCAGACTGTGTCTCCTCCATCCTGCTCCATCACCACCCCACATCCTTGTGAGCCTTCTAGCTTACATCTTAGTGCAAACCAGTAAGTTTTTATAAATAAGCCTGAACTTTAGTATGCCGGCTTATACAAAAGCCTAAACAACTTTTCCCCCCTCACATACTTCTTGGTTTTCAGCTGAATTAAGAGTTTTAGCAACTGTGACTTTTTTGGTAAGTTAAATGTTACCAAAAAAAAAAAAAAAAAAAAGGAACTAATGAAAGGTTTTCTGAGGCTGTTTTTTGTATTGTAGGTTGTCTTACCATCAGCGTATATTAGATATTGTTCCTCCTACCTTCTCAGCCCTCTGTCCTGCAAATCCAACCTGCATTTATAAATACGGAGATGAAAGTAGCAGTAAGTAGCAAAATACAAAATAAGACAAATTCCTTTGTCTTCAAAACCTACCACTGCAAGTATACTCTGAAGTCAGTTTATAAAGGTTGGAAATTGAATTTTTCTTTTCTTAGGATTTATGTTTGTTTTCTTATTTGAAGGGTGATCTGTTACTAGCCACTGTTTATATGCCTTGTCAGTATTTTAAGATTTTTTTTATGAGCTAATTATCATTGCTTATAACTTTTTTGTTTTTTAATGCTGTTTACAGTGTTATGTTTATGACATCATTTTAAGTATAGTGTCAAGTATAGCAAAATGAATTTACAGTCAGTTTTGTACTCAGCTGAAAATGTTTGTTATAATGATGGTGATTACTTGAATTGATTGCTGAGATTTCATTTTCAGCTTTGATTTTAGGAACATAGATGCACATAACAGTTTCCTCTAGAAGTGATTTCATAAATCTTTTTGTCACGTCTCTTAAGATTACACTCTAAATCTGAGGGACTATAATGTGATAGGCTTTATGTTTTGTACATATTTATGTTTAATGCAGGTTGTACATTGGTAATCTCTGGTGCACAATTACACTGTAGGTTTTTTTCCCAAGTTGGACTTTTAGGTTGGCCTGAGCATAGCCGCTACGTGAGCCTTCCATGTCATGTTGCATGGTGGTTCTTTGCATTGAGGAACTCTACCCTTCCTTACCTTATGTCATTACCCAGATAGGAAAAGCATTTCTCATCTTCCATTCTGCTTTCTTTCTGGAGTCTGGCCTGAGCTTTACTCCTGTAAATACTGTATTTAAAGAAACAAAAAACTTTAAAGCCAGCTTTCTGTTGCTTCTGGGTACCTTGAAGGTAAACATCTTGGTTCCTGAGTTAGAGTGTAAATTCTTTGATTACAAAACATTCTGCTTTTTCTTTTTCTTTTTTTTTTTTTGTACTAGGAATCAAACTCAGGGCCTTGCACTTGCCAGGCACTGCACTATTGAGCTGCATCCCTAGCTCTAAGATTCTGGTTTTATTTTGTGTGCATGTGGTTTTTTGGTTTTGTTTTTCACTTATTTTTCCCTCAAGTGTTACATAGCTGTCTTTGTGTGACCTGTTGTAATTGACTGTGTTCCAGGTGCTTTGCTCCTCCCCTTTGGGCCAATGTCCAAGTTGCCTTTTTTGGTGCCCCAGTTGACTACCTTACATTAAAAGTCAATTTCTATTGCTGTAGCAGTACTTTCATACTAACATAAATTTTATTCAGTAAGAACTCAACAGATATTAACCAAAAGTAAACACAGGGTATCACATTGCACAAGCAATATAGATTCAAGCATGAGTTGACTCAGCAAAACAGAGCAAGGAGGTAAAAACACACTATGGCAGAGGCATGTGTTGGAACAAAGCTGCTCACCTCATGCAGCTGGAAAGAACAAAGAAAAGAGCCCCACTTAAAAGACACCCTTCAAAGGCAGACACTCACGGCCTACTTCCCTTAACCAGGCCCTATCTCTTAATAGCTCACGGAGCTCTGAGCTCATCAGTATGTTCCTAATCCAGCAGTCTCCATAGCAGTATCAGTAACCCAGGCAAGTTGATAGCAGTCAAGTTTGGTCCTTACAGGGTTATTGGCAAAAATGAAGCCAAATTACATTGGTTCTTGAGGGTTTTTTGTTTTTTGTTTTTGTTTTTTTGGTACCAGGGATCGAACTCAGACTGCATGCTTGCAAGGCAGGCACTTATGCCACTGAGCTAAATCCCCAGCCCGGTTCTGGGGTTTTGAACTTAAGAAAATCCCAGAAACTTTGGAGGCTTGTAAAGGACAGTTACAGCTATATCACTTCTCACCTCACTGCTCATCTGAGAAAGATCAGCACTCCTTGTTCCCCAGATTTCAGTTAGCTTAGTGTTTTGCTATTGTTGTTGTTTGTTTTTGTTTTTTGTCTTTTTGAGACAGGGTCTCTATGCAGTTCAGGCCGGCCTTGAGCTCACTTTGTAGCCCAGGCTGGTCTGGAACTCACAGTGATCCTTCTGCCTCAACCTCCCAAGTGCTGGGATTACAGGCATGAGCCACCACACCCGGCTTACTTAGCTTAGTGTTTTAAGAAACTGTTACTATTTAGATAGGTGAAAAAATATTTACCTGTTAGGTGAAACTTTTACATGTTGTATCTTTATACAGTTTTACTACTGGTCTGGAGATAAAGAGTATTTCATTTTGGAAAGAAAGATCTTTGAATCTTTGGATGAGGAAAAAAAAAAGATTTTGTTTTGTTTTGTTTTGGTGTTTGGTTTATTTCTGAATAACTATTCACAAGAATAGTCATTCAGTTAAATCTTCCTTCCCCTCTATTCTGTGTTTAGATTCACTTCCTGGACATTCTGTGGCCCTCTGTTTAGCAGTTGCTTTTAAAAGTAAGGCAACCAATGATGAAATCTTCAGCATTTTGAAAGATGTACCAAATCCTAACCAGGATGATGACGATGGTAAGGGAACTGAACATTTCTTCAGTAGAATTATATTTATATGCCAAGTTAAAGCATAAACATAACTTTGACCATTTGAGTTTATTCTAAATTACATTGGATGCTCATAAAACAGTATTTGTTTGGCCTTTTCAGCCTGTCAGTTGATCTCAGAACCCAAGTATTTTCGCCTTATTTTTAGAGGTCCTAATGTTTCTGTGAAATAGCTTTACATTAAGACTATAAACTGCGGGGCTGGGGATTTAGCTCAGCGGCACAAGCGCCTGCCTTGCAAGCAGGCAGTCGTGAGTTCGATCCCTGGTACCGAAAAAACGAAAAAGACAAAAAAAAAAAAAAAAAAAAAGACTATAAACTGCATCTTTCATACAAAGTAAAATTTACTTTGATTATAAGTTTGCTTGAATTAATAAATGGATACAGAAAAGGTAGTACAGACAAAATAAGTGTCTGCTGAACAGCTGGGTAACATTTGACAGAAGAATGCTCTTACCATAATCAAAGTGATATTAAATTCAGATACTATCACAGATCTTAGGAAATAGGTGTTTAAGTGTTCACTGATTGTCTTTTTAATATATTTCCATCATATAGACAAACCATGAATAAGGAAATTTGTGTGCTGCTTTTTAAAGAAATGGATCAGACAGAAGAATTAGGGAAATAGTCCTATAAAACTAAGAATTAAGATTATGTTTAGTGTTACATCTGGTTTGTTTGTTTTGTTTGTAGTACTGGGGATCGAACCCAGGGTACTTTACTATTGAGCTACTACATCCCCAGCCCTTATTTATTTTGGAGCAGGGTCTCACTAAGTTGCCCAGGCAAGACTTGAATTTACAAACCTCCTGCCTCAGTGCTGCAATTATAGGTGTACACCACTGCAACTGGCTAAGATTTTACTTAGTTTCATATTAGTATTTGAAATTGATGATTCCCTTTGGTTGTTTATTAGTACTTAAAGTTGTTACATGGATATCTGATTTAGGATTTGGATATGAGCATCTGCTCATTCTAGGTGGGTCACCAAGGAATTACTATACTTACTTTTTTATTATTACTGTGAAATATTTTTCAGATGAAGGATTCAGTTTTAACCCTTTGAAAATAGAGGTTTTCGTACAGACTCTGCTACATTTGGCAGCCAAATCATTTAGCCACTCCTTCAGTGCTCTTGCAAAGTAAGTACAAGCTGGTGAATTATAAAATAATATTTTATTTTATAAAATGAGAAGTGATATTTATCTAAAAAGATAAAATAATACTTAAAATTGTTAAATACAAAAATCTTTTTTTTTTTTTTTTTTTTTTGGCTTTTTAGTTTTTATTGGTACCAGGGATCGAACTCACAACTGCCTGCTTTCAAGGCAGGCGCTTATGCCGCTGAGCTAAATCCCCAGTCCCTGAATATAAAAATCTTAACAGATTATAGAATTTGATACGGTGAGTTTTGGTTGAATGTTTGGTTATATTTCTAAAATCCCTAACCTAAGGCTTCTATCAGTCTATATGTACAGTTTGTATATATCCATGGAAAAGTACATTTTTTTTCCATCTAAACATTGAGAGAAACTAGTGGCAACCTAGGTCCTCAGGTTAGGTGTTCATAGTCAGAACTTTGTAGCCTAAATATCTTTCAAGAAGAGAAGTATGCAGAGGCTGGGGATTTAGCTTAGTGGCATAAGTAAGCGCCTGCCTGGAAAGCACAAGGTCCTGATTTCAATCTCTGGTACCAAAAAAAAAAGAGTTGAAGGTTGAAGAAGAGAGTATGCAGGTAAGAAAGCAGCTTGCCATGCTTTTTGAGAGCCATCCAAAAGTTTGCGTCTTTCTTGTCAAAGTTCAAAAGAAGAAATAGCATAATCCTCTCTGAAGATTTTGTGACATGTTCCCTATAAACTATAATTATGAATCATCTTTTACATCCAAATATTTGGTTATTTTGCATTTATGTATGATTTTATAAATGGAGTAACACTGAAAATACTTGGAAAATTTTAAAGTGCCTAATGAGTAAGTATGAGTGGTATTTTTCTTTTTTTTCATTGTCAAGGTTTCATGAGGTCTTCAAAACTCTAGCAGAAAGTGATGAGGGAAAGTTACATGTGCTAAGAGTTATGTTTGAAGTCTGGAGAAACCATCCACAGGTAAAAATTATTTAACTGAATATGTTGAAGCCCTGATTATCTGCATATAAAGATAAGGCAATTATTACTACTGTTTTAGTTTGTGAAACATGAAATTTGTAAATTTATAAATTTTTTGGTGTGTGGGAATGTTGGATTCATTTTTTTACAAAGCAACTGTTAAAATTTCCTTTTGGACTGTAGTATCTCAACACACTTTAAATGTTCAGTGAAAATTCTTGTTGCTTGGCAAAGTCTGCCGGTTTGTAGGAAATGGTTATGTAGTCTGTCCAGTTTCTACAGACAAGCTTTAGAGTTCTCAATACTTACTGTCTTCATAGGATACACTGTATTATAAAAAATTGTTGAAATACATTTCATAAGACAGTTTAAACTTTGTGATAAAACTTTATGTTTAATTTGGAGGATTCAAATGAAATTAATGTATTTAAAACTTTTGTGTAGGTATCTAAAATTTTTTTTAGGTCTCAAAAAAATAAATAAAAATTTTTTTAGTTACAGGTTACCATTCAGAGTTGTGTTTTCATTCAGTTTTTATTGTTATCATGGTACTTTCATAGTGCTGCAAAGCAAATTTTGAAACCAAGTGGTCAAATTGATCAGTTGCACTGTCCCTACAAAAGAATTATACATCTCTGTTTTACTTTTGTAGCAGTAGCATTTTGGCTACATTTTGTAATTATGATTTGTCCTAATCTCTCGTTGTAGATGATTGCTGTACTAGTTGATAAGATGATTCGTACACAGATTGTTGACTGTGCTGCAGTAGCAAACTGGATCTTCTCTTCAGAACTTTCGCGTGACTTTACTAGGTTTGGACCAGAATTTGGAGTTCATGCATAAGACACCACACATAGACCAATTTTATAGAGCACAAACATGGCAAAATAATTTATGTTGCCTACTCATGGTTTTTATTTGTGAGATTGTACAGGCTTCCTAGTTGATTAGGACTAGGATAGCAGGATTTGACAGAAAAGAGGAAACAAAAGCAAATTATTTTCAAACAGATAAAAAAAAGTCACCATAGCCCTTTCATTTCTCCTGTTTGTCTGTAACTGATAGAAGACACTGGCCTGCTACACACTGAGTCCTTAGGATGATAGTGATCAAAGGTTGTCCTGTCAGCCAAATTGACACAGAAAAACAACAGGAAGTCATTGTCAGGCTTGCACTAAGAATATGACCACCGTGTGTGTTAGCCATTATGCTGAGAGATTTACATTATTCTCATTTCATGTCATGCTCATGATACCACTGAAGAAGTTGCACCATTTTTCACCATTTACAATGTAGGGAAATACCACCATGTGTTGACGCAGCTTACTCAAGGTCACACAGCTAAGGCAGAGTCAGGATTTAAGGCTAAGTGTTCTGGAATTGAATCTGTTGACCAGTAGTTCCAACTGTTATTAGCAGCTAGCTTAAGTATTTCTAACTATGCAAAGCACTGGCTGACCCCATACGAGAGTCAAAGTAAGTTGTATGAACTCTTGTCCTCTCTGGTCATAGGCTAGACTTGGAAGAATCCATTTGTTTTATTATATAAGAAAGTTTGTTTATGCAGCCCTTTAAAACACCTACAAAATGATCCTTATTTTTCAAGCTATTTGCTGGTAATATAGCTAACATACAAATATTTGTCTCATTTTTAAAGTGGATAGCCATTGTCAACTAATGAGCTTCTTAAATGTCCCAAGAAAACTGGCTGAACATGCACTAAATAGAATATAGTATAATATGAGTGCAGTGATAGGTTAGGTCTCATTTTGAAAACAGTTCAATACTTAAAGTTTACATTTAGAGGACAAAAATATATTTCGCTTCAAATGTTTTTTTTTTCCTAGTTTGTGACTCGAATTCAGTGAATATATATACACACACCTTTGTATATCTAGTTAAAGGCTGGAATATTGCTTTTGGGGAGCTTCCCTAAGTTTAATGGGTAGAAGTAGGTAGGTGCTTGTACAGTGTGTAATAAAAGGCAAATCCAGGGCTGGGGATTTAGCTCAGTGGCATAAGCGCCTGCCTTGCAAGCAGACAGTCGTGAGTTCGATCCCCGGTACCGATAAAAAAAGAAAAAGACAAAAAAAAAAAAAATAAAAATAAATAAATAAATAAAAGGCAAATCCTAAGTGTTGTTGGAGAAAGATAATTAACTGTGCCCAAAGGGTGGAAGGCTTTTGTAGTCCTGAAGAATGAAAGGATTATAAAAGTTAAGACTTTATTGTCTGTAAGTGTAGCCTAACATACAAAAATCAAATGCTGTATTATGTTTAAGATTATTTGTTTGGGAAATCTTGCACTCTACAATTCGTAAGATGAACAAACACGTTCTGAAGATCCAGAAAGAACTGGAAGAAGCTAAAGAGAAACTGGCAAGGCAACACAAACGGGTAAGTCTTGCGTTAAAGAATTAACGTTGGTTTGGGGCTGGGGATTTAGCTCAGCAGCATAAGCGCCTGCCTTGCAAGCAGGCAGTCGTGAATTCGATCCCCGGTACCAATAAAAAGGAAAAAGACAAAAAAAAAAAAAGAATTAAGTGGTTAAAGGAAGGTATGCCAGAAACTCTGGAGACTACTGAAGCCTAGTACCTTAATGGTAATTTATTTTTTATCCTGAGGCCATATTCTGCTGAGCCGTTTGGAAAGGCAGAGAAGGGAGGAACAGATAGTCCATTGTATGCTGCTGCACCGCGTGATACAAGCCATGAACTTTACTTTTCCCTAGTTGCCCATCTCTCAGATGGTTTTCTGTTTGCACTTTCCAAAAGGTGGGGGTGGGCAGTTAGAAAAAAGATTCTTGAACTTGGTTATTGTATGTTAGACATATACTTACAGACAGTAAGAAGAAAAGCAAAAGATTGTTGGTTATCCAGTCTCCACCCCCCTGGAGAAGGATGAGATGGTCACTTCCAAGTTTACCAAAAAAAAAAAAAAAAAAAAAATTCTTGTAAGTTAAGTATTAGTCATTTAGCCATTTTTGGAAGGAAACAGTGAGCTAGCCATCTTGTGACTTAGCATAATAGTACCAGTATTCTTCATAACAGTATAGGCATATTTACCAGAGTAGAAAGTGGGAAAAAAAAAAGTTTAATGGTTTAAATGAACTTACAGCAATTTTGAATGCTTGTCTATGTGTAAATACACATAAAACATAGTTACAAACCTAAAATACTATAAGGAAAATGATGTCATCCCATGTTAGATATACAAATTGAGGCTCAGAATTAAGTAGCATGTTCGAGGTTACATAGCTTGTAAATGATAGGGTATGTTCTGAGCCCAATCTCTCAGATAACACTTTCCCTCATGCCATAGCGTTGGATACAAATGTGCTAATATGGTAGCTGCTAGCCATGTGTGACTATGTAAGCCAATTTAAATTATCCAAATACAATTTAAAACCCAACTGCCTCATGACACCACTTATTAGCCACATGTGGCTGGTGGCTATGATACTGGGAACAGGGATTTCTGTAGCCTTTCCTTCATGGCAGGAAAAGTCTTGGACATTGTGCTCCAGGAACTTAAACCTTCATGTGAAGTTGGCGTCTGGAACATAAGGAAACCCCATAACATTCACTGTTAGAGAAACAGTCATAGAGTGGTTCTGATCATTTTGCTTAAAGTTGGGACAATCTATTATAGATGAGCCTTCACAATAGAGACTTATTTAGAAGGGTTACCAGGCTGTCTAGGGTCAGTAACACCACCTTTATGCTAAACATACTTTGTGATGTGATGTGCCTAGAGCTCGGTACAACTAAGTTATCTAATCTCTCACCCTTTCTCTTCTCTGGAGACAAATTATGCCTCTTATACTGCCTTTTTTTAGTTGCCTAAACCAATGATAGTAGACCAGAATGAGCAAGAAAGGAATTATTGAAGCTTTACAAAGGTATACTGAGGCCCATCATTGCCAATAGTGTCTTGAACAGTGTGCTCTGAATTACATGTTGAGCCATGTTAATTGTGATGAGGATGTACAATCTGGGCTCTTGAGTTGCATGAGGGTATGCCCAGCTTTTCCACATTGGGAGTGATTATCAAAGTCTCCATGTTGTTTCCACACACAAATGATCAGGTAGTAACATATGATAGTCAACACCCTGCCACCATTAGAAGAGAGCCATAAAATTTCTCTGCCCTTGTAGGAACCCTGGGAATTCTGAGTGAGAAGGCCATGTTGTAACAGCTGCAGGCCCCTGAGTTTTATGGGGGATGTTTTATGGGGATGGGAGTTTAACTAAAAGAATATTTTTTTAAGAATATAGTCTTTAGAATGCATTTGATCAGACAATAAAATTGTTCTTTCTTGATGAAACTTAATACACTGGATTTCTCAATGTTTCCACTTTTGTTCCTGTGCCTTTTGAAGCGAAGTGATGATGATGACCGAAGCAGTGACAGGAAAGATGGGGCCCTTGAGGAGCAAATAGAAAGACTACAGGAAAAGGTGGAGTCTGCACAGAGTGAACAGAAGAACCTTTTTCTTGTCATATTTCAGGTAACAAGGCTAGGGAATCAGTGCATTTCTTTGGTTAAAATAATATTAGTTTTAATCATAAAGGCATACTCATTTATAGACATTCAAGAATGCAGAAATTACAAAAGAAATACAATGTCATCACTTGGAGGCCACCGTGTAAACTTCTTGAGTTCTGTGCTGTTTACTTAGCATTTAAATACCTGTCTCATTTATTCCCTGTCGTGGATGATTTAGATGATATTTTTTTCCTGATGAACATTTTTATGCATAGATCAGGTTAACATTCCTGATTATTTCCTTAGAATAGAAACCAAAAAATAATACTAGGATAACTAATTTAGACATTAAAATGTTTTTTAATTGCTCCCTACCCCAAATGTACAAACTCCCATTGTTACTAGTATACTTTTTTAGATTTACAGCGTTCAATGAATCTTTCTGGCATATACCAGAAAGGCAAGATGGAATAAGCAGTACTTTTAGTTCATTTGAATTTGTTACTGAAATACAGTATTTTTCCTGTAACGCTTACAATTTGGTTCCTCTCTTGCAGCGTTTTATCATGATCTTAACAGAGCACTTAGTAAGATGTGAAACTGATGGGACCAGTGTATTAACACCATGGTACAAGAACTGTATAGAGAGGCTCCAGCAGATCTTCCTACAGGTTTGTGAGGATCTTGGATTAAATGATAAGCACCACTATTCTCAGCCACAAAGATTTCTGTATTAAAAAAAAAAATCCTTCCAAATTTGCTAGAATATTATGTAGTACCTATAGGTCCTTTTGTTTATATCCGTTTTCTGCTACTATTGCTCATTAAAATATTGAAACTTGGGGCTGGGGATTTAGCTCAGCCGCATAAGCACCTGCCTTGCAAGCAGGCAGTCAGTGAGTTTGATCCCCTGTACCGATAAAAAGGAAAAAGACAAAAAAAAAATATTGAGACTTACTTGGTTTTATATCAGAATCCTAATTGCATTTTCTGTGCTAGGGAATCCAGGTATAATCTAAAATGTAGCGGAGAAAAAGGAATAGTAATTGAATGTAAAAGTACTTAAAAATCTTACATTCGGATGATAAGCACTGCCCAAAGGTGTTCCCTAAGGTTCTCTGCAAAAGAAAAATGCCACCACCTGCTCTCGGCTCAACTGTGTGAGAACAGGTAGCTGGTTCTACAGTTCAGTTCTTTAAGCCTTCAAATAGGACTTCTTTTAGATTTTTTTTTTTTTTTTACTGCCAATTAAAAAGCTTTAGCAGCCCGTCATTTAGTAGGAATCTCCAGGTATATTCAGGTGTAGCTAGGAACAAATAAAAACTTCTTAAATTTTCTGACCTGTTTTACCTTCCTACATTAGACCCTGTCTGGGCTACTTTTTTAAAAGTCGTAATGTGCCACGTCCTAATTTGGGGCAGCTGAACATAGACTATAATAGTAGTGACAACCAGAACACATACTATTGTCACTACCTTGCATAGTGAGTCACATTTACCTATATAAGCTGATAAGAACTGCCGGCCACCTTTCCCTCCAGCCCCTCCCGTTTGCCCTATTTTGAGGCAGGGTCTCACTAAGTTGCCCAAGGTAGGCTTGAACTTGTTTCCTCCTCCTTCAGCCTCCCAGTGTGTTAGGATTACAGGTGTGCACCATCATGTCTGGCTAAGAACTAGATTTGTAGAAAGGTCCTGAATGTAAATATTGAACATTGCATTTTTCTCGTTTGCCTGTAGTGTCCATTATGAACTATTTACAGTGTATATGGGCTGCTGAGGGAAGTGCTGTACTTGATTGTTGCCTTTTCCTGACCTACACACTTCGTTCTGTGTCTGCAGCATCACCAGATAATCCAGCAGTACATGGTGACCCTGGAGAACCTTCTCTTCACTGCCGAATTGGACCCTCATATTTTAGCTGTATTCCAGCAGTTCTGTGCTCTGCAGGCCTAAGGGTCATTTTTACTTTCTTCATGTCTGGATTATTTTTTAAAATCCTAAAGTAACTTGTCTTATTTTTTGATGGTTTGAATGCTTTCTTTCTTGTAATAACCTTTACTTCTTAAAGGAGGACAGTGAAGAATATAACATTACCTTTAATTCTCCCTAAAAAGCAAATATTTCTTCATGATAATGTGACAGTGACCATGATGTATTATATATGTGACAGATACAACTTTTGTGATTACTTTGGTATCTTTTCTCTATAAGGTGTAAAACAATAGATTTGAGGTAATAAAACTATGGGCCAAGCTTACACGTAGTAAATAGGGCTGATGAGCTTTACCAGATAGCATAGCTTTTCACAGCTCCTGGATAACCTAACATGACTGAAATAAAACTAAAAACATGTTTTTTTTTAAACTTTGGCATTTTATCATTTATCATCTTACTCTTTTAAAGCTGGTGGTTTCTTCCTGAAGACATACTTACTTCCATTTGCAATTTTCACTTTAAAATATTTTTCTTGAGGATCTTAAAAGTACGTCTTAGTACAGTGGTATCTCATTTCACAAACTTAATTGTTCCATGATTCTGGTTGCAAACTGAATTGGACAAGAACCATATCAAATTCAATAGATAGGTTCAATGTTGACTTTATGGAAAAATTTGACTTGGTTCACGAACGGCTACTTCTATTTGTGACTAGGGATGTGGAAACAAAGAGGTTCATGAACCTAGGTGCCACTGTTTATGAAGGTGTTACTGTTTAGTGATTGCCAAATGTATCTAAGCGTAAATCAACTGAGAAGCTTTTTAGTCATTTAAAAATTTAAACCACATTCTCTGGAGTAGGCTCCCTAGATGATTCCCCATTATTAAACTGTTACCTTAAACTGAGAGCCTCTGGTCATTTTCCATAGCTTGTAAAAAAGATTTGTCCAAAAATAAGCTGCACGCTAACAAAGAACTAGCAGGAGATAGGTTTGCTAGAGCTATACTTGGAATTAGAGGTGAGTTTGGGTTTTATTTCTGGTTCAAACAATAATTTCTGACTTTTTCTAGTATAGTATTGAGGCTTAAATGAGAGCATTTTATAAAATAATAATACGGAATTATTTAACTTTCCAAATTTCTAGGATTTTTTTAGGCTTTTTTTCACTAAACTTTAGAAAATTTTACTAATAGTTCTGTAATTACTGGTACTGTTTTTGTGCACTTGTACAACATAGTGTCTTTTTTCTGTTTACTACATCCTAAGTTTATGATGCACTGAGCTTTTCCCATGTTTTGATAGATGGTCTCTGGTTTCTCATTTTGGTGGCTGCAGAACACTGTCCACTCACTCAATAGGTGCAGATTTCAGGGTCTTTTAAACACCATAGAAGGAACTGCTCAGTAAATCAAGGTTACATGGCAGACTGTTAGGAGAAAGAGACTAACCCATGTTCTTGGCTAAATACTTTTATTTATACTATTCCTTCTTTCCATTGTTTAAACATAGCACACCGTGTAAGGGCTTGAAATGGCTTCTGTACTTAGGAAACCAAAAGGTAACCACTTAAGACATTGGAACCTTTGATTCTTAAAACTGCTTTGTAAGAGCAAGGGGTTTAGCTCAGCAGCATAAGCACCTGCCTGGCAAGAGCAAGGTTGTGAGTTCAATCCCTGGTACAAAAAAAAAAAAAAAAAAAAAAAAATTGCTTGGTAATATTTTTACAATGCATGGCAAAGTTTGGCTACTTACACTTCATCCAAATTCTAGAAGAATTTGTAGGAATTTTTTTCTCTTGATTCTCTCCACGTATAATGGTTACTTCTGAAAACTGTTCACTGATTTGACTTTGCTCTTGGTCTGTGGAAAACTGAACTAAGGGTTTGAAGAAATAAAGGCACAAGGGCAGACATTCAACAGTTGCTCTCCCCATTAAAGTTACACAGACAAAAGGAAGGCATGTCACTGTGCATCATTCCTTACAACAGATCAGCTGTTAAATAGCAGTGGTTCCATTTAACATGCTTTTGTCAAAGTGAACATACGCTGTTTTCCTAACCTGTAATCATACCTGAAAGGGGAGGAGAGGTTTGCCAACCAGAGCAGATTGGGCTGTCAGGGATATCTGGATGCTGGGATTATCTTAAAGTGATGTAGGGAAAGAGTAAACGCAGACCTCAGCTCCACAGATCTCTGTACTGACTTGACAGTAGTGCTTACTAGTGAGCATGAACGTATCAGTTGCTGGATTTACCCTATTAAGTCCTTACAACGTTCCTCTGAGACAGTTATGCCCACCTCAAAGATAAAAGCAGGCTCCTGGAGAAACTGCACAATGCTCACAGTCAAGACAGAATCTGAACTGAGATGTACCTTGTTCAGGATCTCCTTATCCCTATGATGGAGTAATATGCTCTTAGCCCCAAAGCCCCAAGTTATTTTTATTATTTTATTTCATTTTGCTTTATTTTCAACATTTCCTTAGTTGAGGTTCTACTTGGAACTATAAAGTGAGCATTTTTATATACCTTTTTCAGGATAATTTAGCCCGCCCTCCCTTCCTGTGTGTAGCACTGGGGATTGAACCCAGGGAGTGATGAGATACCTACTTCCTGCCCTTTTAAATATTGTTAAATATTTTCAGACAGGGTCTCAGTAAGTTTCCCAAGCTGGCCTTAAACTAGAAATCCTCTTGCCTCAGCTTCTGGAGTAGCTGGGATTACAAGCATTTGTTACTACTGGCTTTTCATTTTTTTTAAACATGAAAAAGAGAAAAACTACAATAAATTTCAAAGCAGTCGGGGTAACAATGGTACATGCCTTGGGCATTGTTATCCTCAGATCATTCACCCAGAGCACACGGCACCTGCCTTCAGTCCAAACAATACCAGTACAAATCTTTCCCTTCAGTGAACTCGGAGAAATCAGTAGTATAACTATCTTAACTTTTTATATACAAATACATACACATATACATAAGTTTTTTTTCTTTCAGCTCATTACACTAATGAAACATGGATGTTTACATGTATCTTATTTCACTAATGAGTATGTTCTCAAGGTACATCCATTTACTTATAAGTGTCCAGTTTATCCTTCTTTATGGCTGAGTAGTACTCCATTGTATAAAAATACCACATCTTTTTATCCATCCCTCAGTCGGTAGGCATTTAGGTTGTTTCCAAGATCTAGCTATTATGAACTGTGCTGCTATAAACATGGGGGCACATATACATCACTGTGGTATGATGTTTTTTAATTCTTTTGGGGAGATAAGAGGAATAGCTAGGTTGAATGGGAACTCCATTCCTAGTGTTTTGAGGAACCTGCATGCTGCTTTCTACAGTGTTTGCACCAGTGTGCTTCGCACCAATAGTGGAGAAGGGTTCCTTTTTCCTCACATCTTCCAGCATTTATTATTGGTTGATTCCTTTATACTAGCAGCTCTTTCTGGGGTGAGGTGGAATTGCAGCGTTGTTTTAATTTGCATCTCTCGAATGAACAGTGATGTTGAACATTTTTTCACATATTTGCTGTTTGTATTTCTTCATCTGAGAAATGTATATTCATCTCAGCTGCCCATTTTTTAGATTGGGTCTTTAGATCTGGGAGGACTAACTTTTTTGAGTTCTTTGTATGTTCTTGATAGTAATCCTTTATCTGAGGAACAGCTGGCAAACCTTTTGTCCCACATATTGGGTTGTCTCTTCACTCTCTTGGTGGGTTTTTTTTGTGTGTGTCTTTTTCCTTTTTATTGGTACCAGGGGATCGAACTCACGACTGCCTGCTTGCAAGGCAGGCGCTCATGCTGCTGAGCTAAATCCCCAGCCCCTACTTGATGGTTTCTTTTGTTGTGCAAAAGCTTTTTAGTAGGGTGAGATCCCATTTGTTGATTCTTTGCAATAAGTCCTGTGCAACATGGGTTTTGTTCATAAAATGAAATGTCTTCAAGAGTTTTACCTACTCTTATCTTCTGGCACATTTAATGTTTCTGTTTTAATATTAAGATCTTTGATCCATTCTGAGTTTACCTTAGTACATGGTGAAAGGTATGGGTCCAGTTTTAATCTTTGGTATGTGTAGAGGCAGTTTTTCCAGCACCATGTATTAAAAAGGCTATCTTTCTTTCAGTGAATGTGTTTGGCATCTTTGTCAAAGATAAGGTGGCTTAGTGTATCTGCAGTTGTTTCTACATCTTCTAATCTATTCCTTGAATATAGACTGTTTCTTGGCCAGTACCACACTTTTTATCACAGTAGCTTTATAGCATAATTTCAGGTAAGGGATTGTGATGCCCCGTCTTGTCTTTGTTGCCCAGGATTGCCTTTGCTATTCGAGGTCTCTTCTGGTTCCAGATGAATTTTAGCTTGTTTTCTCTAATTATGTGAAATATTCCATTAAATTTTGATTGGGATTGCATTGAACCTGTGTAACAGTTTTGGAAGTATGGCTATTTTCACTATTTTGGTTCTTCCTACCCAAGAGCACAGAATATCTTTCCATTTTCATGTATTCTCTTCCATCTCCTTTTTCAGAGTACTGTAGTTTTCTTTTACATCCTTCATTAGATTGACTCTTCTAAGTACTTTTTTTTTTGGATGTCAGTGTAAAACACATTGTTGCCCTGATTTCTCTCTCAGTGAGTTTGCTATTCGTGTACAGGAAGGCTGTTGATTTTTGAGTGTTGACTTGGAACCAGCTATGTTATTAAATTTTCTCACTAAATTTAGAAGTCTTTCGGTGGAGTTTTTGGGGTCTTCTAACTAGAGTAATATGTCATCTGCAAATAATAGTTTAACTTCTGCCTATCTTTATTCCTTTTTTCTTTCTCTTGTCTAATTGCTGTGGTCAAAGTTTCTAGGACCATGTTGAGTAAGAGTGGAGATAGTGGACATCCTTGTCTTGTTTCTGATCTTAGAATGAAAGCTTTCAGTTTTTGTCCATTTATTCTGATGTTAGCTGTTGGTTTGTCATAGATGGCCTTTATCAGATTGAGATAAAGACCATCTACTCCAATTTTCTATAGGGTTTTTAGCATGAATCGGTGCTGGACTTTGTCAAAAGCTTTTTCTGCATCTGTTGAGATGATCATACGATTTTTGTCCTTGGCTCTGTTAATATGGTGCACTATATTTATGGATTTACATATGTTGAACCATCCCTGCATCCCTGGGATGAATTCCACTTGATCATGATGTACAAGCTTCTTGACGATTTGCTGTATTCTGTTTGCCAGTATCTTATTCAGAATTTTGCATCGATGTTCATTAGGGAGATTGGCCTTTAATTCTCTTTCTTAGTTGGGTCCTTCTCTAGTTTTGGAATCAGAGTAATGCTTCCAGGAATAAATTTGGGAGTATTGCTTTCCTTTCAGTTTCACTGAAGAGTTTGAGAAACACTGGTGCTAGGTCTTCACTAAGTTTCTTATAGAATTCAGCAATGACTTGGGTTTTTCTTTGTTGATAAGATTTTAATTACAACTTTGATTTCATTTATTGATACTGGGTTATTTAGGATTTTTATATCTTCTTGATTCAGCTTTGATAATTCATATATATCTAAGAATCTGTCCATTTCTTCTGTATTTTCCAACTTATTAGAAGTTTTCAAAGTAGATATAGATGATTCTGGATTTCGGCAGGGTCTATTGTGATTTTACCCTTTTCATTCCTAACTGCGGTCTTTCCTTTTTTTTTTTTTTTTTTTTTTTTTTTTCTCCTAATGTTGGCCAAGGGCATATCAACTTTATTTAATCTTTCAAAGAACCAACTCTTAAGATTCATTGATGCTTTGTATTGTGTTTTTAGTCTCCAGTGTGTTCATTTCTGCTCTGATCTTTATAATTTTCTCCTTTATAATTTTGGTTTAACATGTTCTTCTTTTTTCCGAAAGTTTGAGGTTCACCATTAAGTTGTTTATATGTGCTTGCTTTGTTTTCCTAATATGAGTGCTTACTGTGATCAGTTTCCCTCTTAAGACTGCTTTCATTGTGTCCTACAAGTTCCGGTGTGTTGTACTGTCACTATCATTCAACTGTAAAAACTAATCTGTCCTTTAATTTCACCTATGACTCATTGGCTGTTCAGTAGGATGCTATTTAATTTCCATGTATTTATGAAGTTCTTGTGGTTTCCTTTGGCATGAATTTCTAATTTCATTGCACTGTAGTCTGGTAGTATGCATAGGATAATTTCAATTCCTTTACATTTACTTAAGCATGTTCTGAGTCAGTATATGGTCTGTTTGGAGAATGTGCCATTGTGGGGTGGAATACTATAGACATTTAAGTCCATTTGCTCAAAAGTTTGATTTAGTTCTAATACTTCATTATTTTTTTGTCTAGTTGATCTTTTTGTGACAGTGGGGTATTGAGGTCTCCCAATATAATTGTATTAGGGCTTATTTGATTTTTCATGCCCATTAGTAATTGTTTTATATAGCTGGGTGCACTGGCATTTGTTGCATATATATTTTTGATACTTTTTCCTCTTCAGTTGTTCTCTTTACCAGGATGTAGTGACTTCTTTTATCTCTCTTAATCAGTCGTGGTTTGAAATTGACTCTGTCTACAAATAGAATAGCTACCTCTGCTTTTTTCTGGATTCCTGTTTCATGCAGTATTGCTTTCCATCCTTTGACTTTCAGTATGAATTTCTTTTTGAATTAAATGTGTTTCTTGTATACAGCATATTGTTGGATCTTGCTTCTTGGTCCATTCTGCCAGTCTGTCTCTTCTGATTGGTGAATTGAGACCATTAACATTGATGGTTAAAACTGATGTGTATTGATTTATTTGTCATGTATTATCCTGTTGATCTCCCCTCTCCTTTTTTTCCTTTCCTATAAGCCTTTCGTGATGGATTCCTTCTGTTGGGGTTCATGGAGCTGTAGTCTTGTCTCTTTCTAGAACGTCTTTCAGAACGTTTTGGAATGCTGATTTGGTGGTCATAAATTTCCTCAGATGTTCTTTGTCATGGAAGTATCTTGTTTCTCCCTCAACTTTGAAAGATAGTTTTGCAGGATACATTAATCTGGGTTGAAAGTTGTTTTTCTTTAGAACTTGGAACACTTCACTTGAAGCTTTCCTTGAGTTTGTGCTGAGAAGTCAGCTATAATTCTGATGGGCTTTCCTGCATAGGTGATTCATTTCTTTTCCCAAACAGCTTGTATGGAATTTCTGGCATCTTTACTATGATATGCCTGGCTGTAGATTTTTTTCATTATTGCTAATTGGAGGGGTTTGTGTGGTTTTTGCTTTTGTACTGGGGATTAAACTCATGACTGCATGCTTGCGAGGCATGCTCTTAGGCCGCTGAGCTAAATCCCTAGCTCAATTGGAGTTTTATATGCCTCACTTATATGTATGTCACATTCGTTTTCTCTACCAGGAAAGTTTTCTGTCATGATGTCTGTGCACAGGTTTTTAATGTCATTTGTGGTGTCTCTTACTTGTTCATTGACTCCAGTAAATCTTAAGTTATTCTTCATCTCATGTATTTGCTGCTGGATTGATCTGTCATGGTCCCTTGCTAGGTTTGAGAAATGTTTTTTCTGGTTGCTAACTGCAAGTCTGTCTTCAGTATCTGAGATCCTGTCCTATGGCCTAATCTACTTCAAATACTTTCAAATGGAATTTGTATTCTCCTGGATGTCTGCTTGAATCTGCTTTATGGATTCCATTTGTTTCCTGTTATGCTTCCAGAATTGCTTAAGCTTGTGTATTTTTTGTCTGTGTCTGCTCTAACATCACTAAGCATGGTGTGTATTTTGATAATCTCTGTAGTTATCTGAAAAATTATTTATTTCATTTTTTCTGGAGCCTCATCGAATTGCTTTATTATTTGGAGAGACCTGGTGGGGGGCTTTCAGATTGTCCCACCTCATTCCCCCCTGGATTTGTCCTTGGTGAACTGGATGTTTGGGGTTGCATCTTAAGTGTCATTTCATTTTTCTCTTTTAGTTTAATTCCTGGGGTGATGCTTGTAAGTTGCCTGTGGTGGTTGCTTTATTGGTGGTATTTAGGACACTTAGGTGATTACTCCTCTGAGGGATCTTACAGGCAGAGCTGGTTTTTGGGTGTTGAGTCTTTTGGAAGATCTTCAGTTTGTTAAGGCTTTTCAGCTTGTACTTTGGAATAATTTTAAATTTAAAAAAAGTGGCAAACGTTGAGAAGAGATGTATGCATTCATCTGGCTTCCCCGAATGCTTACGTGATATATCATAGTTGAAGCCAGATGATTAACATGAGTATGTCTACAAAGCAAACTCCAGCCTTTATTCCGATGTTGCCAGTTACCCCACTAATACCTCCTAGTCCAGGATTGAGTGCAAGACTTCACTTTGCATTCACTTGTCACATCCCTTTAGTCAGGTGCCACCTGACAATTCCTCTGCCTTTCCTTTCACTCATATCCAAGATAGGTTTTGGTTTGGTTTGGGGGTGTTTTTTTTTTTTATTTGTTTGTTTTTTGTACCAGGGATTGAACTCAACCTTGTATTTGCCAGGCAGGCACTTACGGGGCTGAGCTGAGTCCCTGGCCCCCAAGATAGTTTTGAATACTATTGGGCAGTTAACTGTATGCAGCAGGCCTCATTTGGATTTGTCTCTGGCTTTCTGATTAGACAGATTATGAGGATTTTTTTTCTGTTTTTTAAAATTTAATTTTAATAGGTTCAGGGATATAGCTCAGTGGCATAGGCACCTGCCTGGCAAGGCCAAGGTCCTGAGTTCAATTCCTGCTACCAAAAAAAATTTATTTTATTGGTACACTTGATATACATTACATTCATAAGGAATTTGTACCTGTACATAATATATCTTGATGTTTTTGTTTTTCCTCCACTCTGCTCCTTCAATCCTCCCTTTATAAAAGCTTTGTTTCCATTTTTTTTATTATATTGCTTTCTCATCTCCCCTTCCTTTCTCTTCCCCCCTTTCCTCTGTTCCCCTTCTCTTTTGAACATTTTCTTCTTACTTCCCAATATTTACTCATTTTGGTCCTTGTTTACCCATTTGGCTTCTCACACAAGAGAATGCAATATTTAAACGTGTGTCTAATTTATTTCACATAGAAGTGTGGTCTTGGGGTGTCTCCATTTACTTAAAAAAATCTCATTTACCCCATTTTCTTTATTTGTTTGTTGATGGTCATCTGGGCTGTTTCCAGGACTTAGCTGTTACAGATTGTGCTTCTATAAACATCAGTGTGCGCGTATCACTGTAGTGTAACGCCTTTAACTCTTTCTGGATCGATATCAAGAAGGGAAAAGACTGGGTCAATTGGAACCTCTAGTTTTAAGTTTTTTGAGGACTCTCCATCCTGATTTCCACACTGTTTTTACCAGTTTTCATTCCTCTCAACAGTGGAGAAGGGTTTCTTTTTTCCCACAGTCTTGCCAGCATTTGTTACTGGTTGATTTCTTGATGATGGCCACTTCTGGAGCAAGATGGAATACCAATTAAAACATTTTTCAGATGACCACTGATGTTGAACATTTTCTCATGTATTTGCCTTTTGTACCTCATCTAAGAAGTGTCTATTTCAGATGCTTATTTTTGGATTGGGTCTTTAAATTTGGGTGTGATTTTTTTGAATTTTTATATATTTCAGGTATCAGTCCTTTGAGGAACAGCTGGTAAAAGTTTTTCCCCCACTCTGTGGGGTTGTCTTTTCACTCTGTTGGTGGCTTCTTTTGCTATGCAAAAGCTTAATATGATGAGATCCCAGTGGTTGCTTTTTTGTAGTATTTCCTGTATAATTGGGGTTTTTATTCATGAAGTCTTTGTCTACACCTATGTCTTTAAAAGTTTTATGTATTGTTTTTCCAGCAGATTAAATGTTTCTGTTTTAAGATTTAGATCTTTGATGCATTTCAATTTTACTTTAGTGCACAGTGAGAGATATGGAACTCCATATTTTGTTATCAGAAGGCTAGAAACTGGCAGCCCATTGAGAATCGGTTTTTACTCAGGTATAATTTCTAGCATAGCATATATTTAAAAAATCAATACTTGAATACAGTGAAAATTTCTGGGTTGGGCATTTATATACATAAAACAGTTAATAGTCTCAAATGCCTAATTACTTGGTTTGACTTGGTCTGATTTTGGCCTTTCTTCAAGGGTATAGTCTGGTTTGGAAAGAAGAGGGAAAAGGCATATGCTTTGTATTCTGTTTGTGGTAAGAAAGAATTTATGTCAAACTACAAGTTGAAAGTACCCAGTTTATTCTAACCTGACCTTTTATTAAAATGATGCTGAAAGTCCAGTAATCAGAATCAGGTGGTTGCTAATCTTTTTGAGAAGAGTCAGAGAAAATCTGACAAACTAAACTTAATCCCTGTACCTAGGACAGGGTACAGTTTAAGGTGTCACTTCCCTCCCTATTGAACATGAAGCAAGTTTTCTTCCTTCCAGGATTAAATGAGAATACCTGTAAGACACTTAGAAGTAGGATAAACTCAAAACCTTTGATCAGCTGATACTAATTTGTGAAAAATGTGGTTTTCCATTTTCATTCAGCATGTGGGGAGAATTGTCCAGTCATTAATGTAGAAGGCCCCTCGGTACAGAAAACATCAAATTCCTATGGTTCACTAAGTGTCGGGACACTTTCCAGCAGAAGCTTCCCACTGCCTTCTGGTTTTGTGATCAAAGACCCTAAAAATCTTTATTCAGACTCTCATACAGTAATGTAATGCCATCCCTGTTTGTTTTTTTGGCTGAGTCCAGTTCAGTCAGCTCTGACGTTTATTGAAAGCTCTTCCTCTGACCCCACTCTAGAATTTATTTTGGTTTCTTACTCCTTAATTTGTGGCTCTGCTGCTTTTGAATCTGCCTTCCTTTCAGCTCCCAGAGACATGACACTCTGCCTTACCAGGCCTGCTGGACTGTAACTGAAACTTGCTGTTGAGCCATATCCACAGTTGCTATTGAAGCTTACTTACTTTGTAGTAGACTTTGAACAGGATCAACCTAAATTTCTTTTAATATAAAAATCTGTTTCAAAACTGACTGAACTAAACATCACATTTTTTCATATGTCAGCTCATGGCCGCACACAGTACACGTCTTGCGGTACATGTCATCGTCTAAGTTTTCTTCTGGTCCATACTCGTGTTGATGAGCAGTTGTTCCTCTTTTCCACACACTGCTTCTTACCGCTCGTCGCAATTCTGAGGAAAAAAATTAAAAATTTTCAGTTAAATCCAAAATTCCCCTCAGGCTTTCATATTTATGTATGTATTTAAACAATACATTGTTTAATTTCATAATCAAAGTTGGTCACACAAACTAGACAAACTTTCCTACCTCACCTGCTCAGCCTCTGAAATAGTCATTGTTAGAGAGATTAAGAGATGGATATGTGGATTAGAAGTGTCACACTAGAGAAAACAGGGTGCCACATCAGGAAAAGGGGAATCGGCTGAGGTAGGAGAACAGGGAGTATCTTTAAGTTCCATACTTACAAGTTCAGAGCCACGTCTGATAGGAAGCAAGTCAAAGTTTGCTAGTGAGCAAACTGGAAAGCCAAGAACTCTACCACCATATGCTGATGTAGTCTCACCTAAAAACTGCTTGTGCCACTGACCTTAAATAAGTTATTTTATAAAATGGGACAATTATTTTTGAAGAGGAGTTGTCAATAATTATTACATTATAAAGAATAAAAAATCAGAATATTAACAGGAAGGAAATGCAGAGGTTTAACTTCATTGTTTTTCAGGCAGGAAAACTGAACAAAGATAGTACGTGAAGCCAGTTTATCTTACTCTAATGTTGGGAGCTGTTTGTGCTACAATATTTTGATGTCATTCTATACAAACATTTGTTGGATGCTTTGAAAAGCAGCATAAGGCAATGACATTTAGAAAGTACACAGTGCATATTAGCTGAGGAAATAATTGGTATTTCTGTTTCTAATGAAAAAACAACACTAATTTTTTACATTTCTGTCCTCATCAGGTAGTCGACAAAACTGACTATTTTTGATAGTGGCAGTACCTAAGAGTTCTGATAGCTTTCATAATCTAAACCAGAAAAGTCAGCGTGTACCAAGTAATCACACCTTTTCCTTAATCCCTTATAGATTTATGGTAGTGTCAAAATACTCCTTGGAGCTGAGCATGGTGCTACATACTTGCAATCCCAGCACTCTGAGGAGGTAAGGCAAGCAGACTGTAAATTCAAGCCCAGCCTTGGGGACTTAGCAAGACCTCTTCTGAAAATGAAAAACACAGAAGGGCTGGGAATGTAGCTCAGTGAGGAGTCTCTGAGTTTAATCCCCAGTACCACCAACACAAACAACAAAATACCAAGATACTACTTGGATCTTTGTTTTTTTTTTTGGCTGAATATATCGAGGATAAAAGCAAAGAGGTATGCACCAGGCATATTTCTAAGCACTTAAAGTGTATTTAATCCTCAACCTTGAAATAAGTACAACTATAACCCTGGTTTGACAGATGAGAAAACCACAGTAAAGAAGCTATAAACTCTCCTAGGTCAAGCAGCTTGTTGCCGGCAGAGATCGTGTAGGCTAGGTCCACTTTCTTTTCTTTTTGTACTGGGAATTGAACTCAGGACCTTTTGCTTGCCAGGCAGGCACTTGTGCCACTGAGGTATATTCCCAGCCATGGGACCACATTCTTTACCAAGCTGTACTGCCTTTTTCACCCCGTGTATAAAATGTACTTTCTTTCATATTATTTTCAATGTGTAGGATTCTACAGTTTCCACCCTGGGAAAAACATCAAGTTCTTCCAAATCCTCGTGTGTATTTAGAATCTTCTCTAAACTGATCTTTGTTCCTCCAAACATGGTGATTTTTTTAATTTATTCTCTCATTGTGAAGAATTCCAGTTTTTCTGGATGCATCTTAAATGCTGTTCTCTTCGTTTTATTTTTCCTTAGGATATTTTGTAAGTAAAAACTAAGGGATGCTGACCAGCACTGCAGAGGCCTCCTGGTTTGAGATAATGTAGGAAGACATTTCCTGTTTGAGTTCTAATGGCTGCTTTTCTACTTTGTCTGATGAAAGGCATCCTGGTAACTTCCCTTGTGATACCCTCACTGACAAAGCTCCTCCATACTTAATTGCATCCTAATCATACTAACATCTCTGCCAAATTGATTATGTGTATTTGAGTGGAAAGGTAAGAAAGAAAAATTTGCTTAACACTAAAAGAATACAGCAAAAACTTAGCTTTCTAGCCTTAACTAAACCTAAGGTTTTACAGTAACTGAGTTTCTTCTTTCCACTTGTAGTTAGTCTGTCAAGCTCTATATAATCACAAGTATAAACTAGCCATTCACATGTATTACTAGCCATTCCTGGAAAAACCTTGTGCTAAAAAGGAAGAAGTACAAGTTGAGTATCCATTTCCCAAAATGCTTGGGATCAAATATGTCAGACATTTTCTGGACTATCTGCATATGCATAATGAGCTAGGCATCCATACAGGATGCAGGGAGCCCCAACAGAAAGAACGGATCCCTTCAGGAAAGGCAGCAATGGTGATGGGAAATTCATCATACACACATTCATCAAGTTACTACAGTAGGATAATGGCAGCTGGGTTTCTTATGTCCAAGAAGAGAATTATAGATAAAAAGTTTTAATTCGTAATTAATTACACACGTATATACACACAGAGAAGCAGACACAAACGTAGGTATGGATTTCATGTCAGAAAACAAGGCAGTGCTCAAGAAATAACATGACAAAGGACACAAGGGCTGGTTTAAAGAGATTTCCATATGGCCAAATATGAGGTCATTTGAGCACCAAAATAAGAACAGAAACTAACCAAAGAATGAAAAAGTAATGAATGTATACCAATAAATACATGGAGGAAAAGATGCTGTAGAGTGCTGATCCACTACTAGGTAAATATGAGGAGAGTATTGGGGGCAGAAAACCAATTCTGTAACCATCATACTAAAGACTGATTCCACCTGGATCCATCAAGAGAAAGATTCTAATCTGGTGGGAAAATGTTAAGTAGAAACAGGATGTTTGCAATTTATTTTTGCATATCAAAAGATCAGATTCACTACCATTGAAAGCAAGATACAATGTGCTTCCAGATGTGAGGCACTAATACAAATCACATATCCCTGTCTTGAAATGCATACACACCCAGGATTCAACCAGCAAGAAATGGCAAAAAAGCTCCAAGTATGAAATGCTATTTCTGAAAAGACAGGGTAGGGGAAGGAAAGAGATTTCTTCAAAAATGTCCCTGTATAGAAGACTAGGACTGAAAATCCAGAACAGAGTTCACAGAGACTTGGCACCTAAGTCAGTATCTCATCCTAGACTGGCTCCTTTTCTAAAACGAACATACTAAAATTGCATTATTGAGTCAACAAACAAAACTAAAATATGGATGGCTGATTAAATTTTTAAAAACTTAAATTTGCTAAACAATGAAATGTTATATTAAGAGCTACTCCTAAAATTTTTGAATTTAAAAAAAGCACTACTATTGGGAAGTACATACTGCAGTACCTGTAAGGGTGGTGACATACACAATTACTCTTGAAGCATTTAGAAAATGGGTAAAGGACGGTGACACAATTTTAAGTGGTTTAGAAAAAAGCATGTGTAGAAAAAGCATGCAAAAGATGCAGATGGCACAAAATGGTAAATCATGGATCCACTGAGGTTAGGGGGAGGCACAGGTGGCCCTCGCTCTTAGTATCCTAGCAATTTTCTGTAAATCTGGTTTTTTCCAAATAACAAAGTTTAGGAAAAAGAAACTGGCCTAATGGGGATTTCACTGACCAAACTTTGGACAGATTGAGTATCAAGTAATAACAGCAATGAACTGCAGTACTTTAAAATCTGTTAATTCAAATAACTGTTAAAAAAATTTTTTTAAAGGTCTGAGGAAAAGCTCTTCTCTGCGAAAGAAACCAAATAATAATTGTGCAAGAATGACAGAGACAGGTGAGCTCTCTGGGGACTTGGCTCAGTGGCTCAAGTGCTTGTCTGGTAAGTGCAAGGTCCTGAGTTCCAAAAAAAAGAATGACAGAAACAGAAAAATTGCCATTTATATCTACCCTAATAAAATGATTCAGGTGAGACTCTGCCTTATATTAAAATATAAGGGATGAAGTGTTCATGTCATGTTGGGTTTTTAAAAATTTAATTAGGAAGGAAAAAGATATTCTTACATTAAGGAAATCTAGCAGACACCACTGTACTCATGCCAACCAGCTGTCCGTCCCTGCTTCAAGGAGAACTGACAGCAGCTGTAGTGCACTAGGACTACCACGGAGGAGGCATTCCTGCCAGGAGCAGTCCATTGTGACCAAACACACTCCAAAATCCAGATGCAGGCTCACGGTGCCTGGACCCAGCAGGCCTGGACCCAGCACCAGTGCCTGAAATACTACAGGACTGCTAATATTTTTCCTTGTTGGTTCCTGGATCCAGCAGCTTAAAGGCTATAAAGGACACTGAAACAACTGGGGAGTGTTAAATATCAAGTATGGACCAGACAACTGCTTTCCACTACTGTTAAATTCCTGAGTGTGACACTATCTGAGTTATGAAAAAGAATGCCATTGTTGAGAAGTGTGCTGAAGGATTTAAAGAATCACAGTGCCTGCAAATAACTGAAGTGGATCAGCAGGAGTTTATGAAGTAAAGCAAAATGTCAACATCTGATAAATATTTTTTAACATCTGATAAAAATTTTTAAAAATAAACACTAGTAGGTTTTTTGCACTCATTTAATAACTTAGGAAAAGAGAAATCAACACTGCTACTAAGACTAAGAAAACTATAAAGGCAAGATGACACAAGAGTGGGAAGGTCTGAGCAGCCTTGGGACCTGGGGACCCGGGCAGGTGCACATCCTCCAGAGAGGCTGGAGAACAGAGCAGCCCACTAGGGTATAGCCTTCTGGTCCCCCAGCCCAGAATGTCACAACACAGAAAGCCAGTGCCTAGAAACCACCGCAAATAAAAGAAAACGTTCATGATCCAGTCAGTACTGACATCCTCAGGGATTGCCTACACTTTTACTCAAACAGATTTACCCCTCTGTCCTCTATGTAACATTTTAAGTGAAAATACTGTACCACCTTGAAATCTGACTTTAATATCAATTTTGCAAGAGACCATATGCAAAGAAACCAAATGATGCTTATATAAACACAAAGCTTGGGTCTTCCTTTGTCCTCCACAAACAAAAGCAGGGTAACAGGAAACAGTGTCCCTCAAACTCCTGAGAGAAGCCCCAAAACAAAACCACAGGCCCAGTATGTAGTGTCCACAAACTTAGAAGGAACCTCAAGGTGGGATTTTTCTCACCCATCTCCCTCTCGGGGTGCATAAGAACACTGCAAATGAGTTTACTTTCCTTCCTTCAGAAGGGTGACCTCTGTTGTTACTAAGAGGAAGCTCAGTGTAATCTGGATGAAAATCTTCATCGACCTTATCCGTGGAAAGGAGTTAATGCAAACACACAGCACACTGCGCAACTGTGGCAACACAAGGTTCCCCTCAAATATGCAGGCCAAGGCATACTGCTTTTTTAACTGAGATAAACTGAGCGGTACAGACCCTACCACTTCCATGTCGGCCTTCTTGGATTCACGACACACACTGCCTGTTTATATGCACATACTATTTAAACTTTTTGATAGTAAGCTCATCTTAAACTGCTAAAGTAGATCATATTCTAAAAGTAGATAAATGTAACCTCTTACCTTCCCATAAAGAAGTAAACTTTTGTCAGGTTGTTTGTGGATCAAAATCAGAAGACCAAGAGGAGTCAGGTCCCAATTCCTTTCCGACTAAAAAACCTTTAAGAATTGGTCCTATTCCTCTCTGCTCTGAGCCGTCTGAGCAAACTGCACAGTCAGCGCCTCGCTTCTATCGCTAGCGTCTGCTCCACTGAGAGCCCTCTGTGGCCTAGTCAGGAGGAAGGAGCATCCACCAACCTCTAAAGTGAATCAACGAGAGAAGCCATAATTAAAGAAGGCATCACATTGACCTCTCCACACACTGCACAGCAGAAGACACCAAGTCACAGTCACAAACCCAGAGAGACCGAATCCAATGGTATCCAAAAATGAAAAGAAAACCCAAAAAACAGGGAAACATTTGTTTTTGTAGTCTTGGAAAATGAATCACTTACATAACCACTTTGATGAGTTTCCCCAAAAGGCATGCTTTCTTTAAATAAGAAATGAACTAAAATTCAGGAAAAATTCTACGGGTCTAACTTCATGAAAGACTTCAGGATGAATCTGAACCCAAGGGTAATGAAAATCTGTAAAAGTTCAGGGGGTGATTAACAGCAGCTATTTAATATAATGAGGGAAAAGCCAATTGTGTTCAAGTTTATTTATTTAAAATTCCCATGATAGGGCTGGCAATGTGGCTCAGTGGTAGAATCCTTGCCCTGAATGTGCAAAGGCCCAAGGTTTGATACCCACAATGCACACATGCGCGCACACACACAAATTCCCATGACAACTGTGTAAGTCTGTTTTAAAAGTTCTATTCACACTAATATTTAATATATATATTGAATCTCTATAGAAAAAAGCATGAGATAGAATGGATTCCATAATGTTTTTGTGTTAGACAAGTTACAAGAACTGAGTTACCATTAAATGACATCTTGAGTAAATCACAGAATTAGGGTAAAAAAAATACACATACCCCTTTAAAATTTTTTTTCATTACTTTGTAGACATGTTTCTAGTTAATACTTATGCTTTTATCCATTTGTTATTATCGAAATCAAAATATCCTCTAAAGAGCAGTCTAAGGAGGCTCTGTAGAAGAGAGGAAAGAACTGAGAAGGCTTCAAGTAGCTGAGTTAACAGAAAGCCCAGCCTAACCTCCATGTCCTCCGCTTCAGACCCTTCCTATGCCTTTTATTACCTTCTTTACCCTTTATCAGTAGCAGTCCCCACCGTCAGCAGAGAAGAAAGGTTGGTTTTAGAGCCCGACAAAAATGAAAGAAAAGGCCTAATTTTTAACAAACTTTTCCAAATTCTTCCATTTGGTTCCTAGTGGATTTCTATAAATACTATGGCACAACGATGGCTAATTTTGGGAATATTTTTAAATGAAATGCTCTTTTTATGTCATAGCTTGACTATAGGAATTCTCTTCACAAAGCCACAGAAGTGTACTTACTTTCTGATTCAGGAATTGGAAAGTAACTATGGTTTATATAATGATAAATGTTTCATATAAGATTATCTGTCTTGATTAACCTCATAAATGACTAATAATGCTATCATTTTTATAAAAGCATTTCAAAATATGACAATAACAAGAATAACTCTGAAAAGTGACTATATAATTTCGTGTACAGGTATATCTTCTCTTCCTTCCTGATCAAATTTGCTGTTTTGTAAATAGTGTTTTTAATAGCACCCACTGATATCAACTTTAGGGGATATCAAAGCTTTTTCTGTCTCATGTCTTACAAAGACTTTGTAAAGAGAAAAAAAAATGGCAGGTGTGGTGGTACACACCATGATTCCTGCACCCAGGAGGCTGAGGTAGAAGGACCACCACGAGTTGCCGGCCAGTCTGGGCTCCATAGTGAGTTCAGGGCAGCCTCAACTATATAGTGAGAAGCTGTCTCAAAAATAAAAGACAAACAAACAAACAAAACATTTAGGACTCTCTGAGCTTCTGTTCCGGAGGAGGAAGAGTCCTCTGCACTTCTGCGTTCAACACTACCACAGTGCCCATCATGCTTCAGTACAATCCGAGTTTCTCTTGACAGATGGCGACACCAGCATTTTTGTTAGCACAGTGCCTGGCACAAGTCAGTAACAGATGCGTGGATGGATGGAAAGGTAGATGTGGATGGAAGCACGGTCAGATGAATGCAGAGATAAACAAGGGAATGGAGAACTGCGTGCAGAGACAGGTGCATGGACAGATCGATGACTGCACAAATGAAGACTTCTGATCAGAAAGCCTGGCTCCAGCCCCAACTGTGTAACATGCCACCCCACCTCTCTGGGTCTTTTAGTCATATGTAAAATGAAAGTGATCAGACGAGCTGACATGGAAGTTTCCTCTAGCTGCTAAATTAGGTAGGACTTTGGGTGCAGTGTTTTTCATTTTAATCAACTAGAGAGTTTTGTAAGTATCTGTTTAAAAAAAAAAAAACAGTACTGGTCCTATGTAAAATCTAACTGACAGCAACTCCTTGACTAAGGAACCACTGTTGATGTTGGCCTAACACTATTCCTAGATGTAAATGTGGCTCACATTCTCTTTTTTTTTTTTTAAAGACAGTTTCATCATTTCACCCTGTAGTTCAGGCTGGTTTTAAACTCACTGTAGCCCACGCTAGCCTCAGCTTGCAGTGATTCTTCTGCCTCAGCCTCCCAAGTTCTGGCTTAGAGGAGTGTGCCGCCACACCTGGTTTACACACTGATTTAGAGCTGTATTGGGAGGCCTGGACTAGGAGCCTCAAACCCCACCTACTGAGGACACATTTAGGTCATTTTATTTCCAACCTAGGAAAAACACTACCTTTCAACCCAATGGTCACATTACATCTTCAATGAGAAAGAATCTAGCCAAGGGCTTTTTGCTAAGTGGTAAAACACAATCCTTCATCCTTACCTTTTACTTTTTTATCAAACTTCTTCTGTTTCATTTTTTCTCGGTTTTCTTGTCTCACTTCCTTTGCTTCTTCTAGTGCTTCCTCACTGCCCCACACTTCAAGAGACCTCTTCACAATCTACAACACAGTATGTATTTCAGTTACAAGTCAGAGTTGCAAAATATTATTATTATCAGACCCACAGGATGATTTAATTCAAGTATAAATATGTACTTATTTTAAGTTTAAAGGATTTAAAATATTAATAGGAAATAACTCTGATAACATGTTTATCTCAAGCTAGCAACTTGCAGTAGTTGCTGGATTAGTGTGCAGTATAGAAAAGTTGTCCTCTGACCATACAGTTGTCTCAGCACAGAAGGATTCATAAAAGGAAACAGGGTCACTAAGTTTGATGAATTCTGAGGCTCCCCAAGAAGCTGTTGACACATTAGCCACATCAGACCCAAATACAAGGTCATCTCCAAAATTCTCCAACTAAGGAAACTACCTGTTACTACTATTTCTCATTTCCTCCTGGATCAACAATGGTTTCCATTCACTTCACTAACTTCTGATCTACAGAATATGAATTTTAAAAACCACACTTTGGTACCTAAGTGGCCTGAAAAGTCTTCATTTTAGTTTTGGATTATATACCTTTACTCTTTCTAAGAAAATAGTCACACAATAAGAATACTTCTCGTGATTTTTTTTTTTTTTTTTTTTTTTTTTTTTTTTTTGAGGCAGGGTTTCACTGTGTAGTTCAGGCTGGCCTTAAGCTCACTTTGTATCCCAGGCTGCTCTCAACTGGCATCAATCCTCCCGCCTCAGCCTCTCAAGTGCTGGGATTACAAGCATGTGCCACCATGCCCAGCATTTCTCATGATAAGTTAAGGGAATCAAAATATCAATCAGTATAGCCACACTCAAGTTTCTCTCTTTTTTGGTGCCAGGAATGGAATTCACAACCTCATGCTTGCCAGGCAGGCACTGTGCTACTGAGCTGTATCTCCAGCCCCCAAACTCAAGCTCAACATAAAGTGACATACCCGTATTTCACCAATTCTAAGACATCACACTTTCCACAATTTAGCAAATGTTGTATTATCGATGTGTTTAAGGCACTTTAATGTGAGTCAAAACAAGGATTAGAAGAACTGGACTGAATGTAAAAAGTCTAAGAAAAACAATCTTTTTGCCTTGCATTTTCCTTCTTATGTACACATAAACATGATCTAGTGTATGACAAAACTGTAATGAAATCTAATGGTGCTGCTTTAATAAACATAAAAAAACACTAAGTGACCAGAAAACCTGAGTTGCTTAATTAGCAGTTAGTTCTATACTCATGTTTAATGGTACAGAAAACAAATGATGAATGTTTTATTTTTTTCCCTTCAGTCTTGAGGATTCAACCAAGAGCTATATTCCCCAGCCTTTTTATTTTCTATTTTGAAACAGGGTCTTGCTACATTTTCCAGGATGGCCTCAAGTCTTACAAGTCCCTGGAATCACTACGTGGTAACTGTCTTGGCACACCTGTAACTTATTTGTGGAAAGGACAGTTGTTCTCGGAGTTGCACAGATGTTTAATGACATTCCAGATGGTATTTCCCAGAATATGGATTTAAGGTGTTTGTGAAATTTCTGAAATTTAAGTATTCTTAAGGATTTCTTTTGTTCTGGGGAGTGTACTTTTTGTTAGTTGGTTGAAAGGGGGGAGGGAAAAGGGGAAATAACATCTAACTATTCTAAACTTTTTTAGTTTCAGCACCGTATTCCTAGCACCACCGACCAGCAACGTATTTGTCTCAAAGCATCACAGCAAAAGGCAAAATGAGAAAACACTGTGTGATGAAATGTCATTCCATATGACTATAACACATGTGCAAAAAAGAGGGAAAGAATCATTTTCACTGTCTGTAAGCAAATACGAAACTAATTATAACTAATATATGATGAAAAATTCACCTGAGGGCTGAGGATTTGACTCACTGGCATAAGCACCTGGCTGCCAAGCATGAGATTGTGAGTTCAATACCCAGTACTCAAAAAAAAAAAAAAAAAATTCACCTAGGTCAGAGTCTAAAGTTCATGAATACAACTTATTAGAGACCTGCAGTTTTAAGTAGAGTTTCATATCTCCCCACTGGGAATGATGAGGATTCTTCTTCACAATAAATTTAAGAGCTGGTTCTCTTTTTTCTAAATCACAGTCTTTTAGAAGGTATTCTTGCTTTGCTTCTGTTTTGGTAATAAGCTTATGTTTCTCATCAGGATCTCTGAAAAGACAGGAAGTCCATTATATTAGTTATTTTAAACAAACTAAGCTTTCAAACAGTAACCATAAGGCATAAAATTCTCAATGAGATATAAATACCTTCTCCTGGCTACAACTGTTGTGTTCAAATTAGTAGCATAAAAATTCTAAAGAAAAGTGCTTTTATCTTTTATTCTAAGAGGTTAAATTACTAAAAGATCCATGGGTTTAATGCTTCAAGAATTTCTTGTAAGTCTCTCTTATTTCTGAAGGAATTTGAAATGACTTAGGAGAGAAAATATAAATAAGAGCAATGACTCAAAGAGAAAGAAAATGTATATTAAAGGAGGAGGGAAAGATGGGCAAGAAATGAGGAATATAAACTTGTGCCATAGTCTGTGTTTGGCTGTCCCCCAAAGCCTCATGGAGTCATGGTGGAGCGGGCCTTTCAAAGGTGGCTGAGTCAGTCTATTGCTGGGATTGGTGGTGAGTCTGTCCCTGCCCAGGAGCAGGTAGCCGGCATACAATATACCGGAGGAAAGGACTTGTACTTTCCCCTTTTTGCTCTTGTCACCTTCGATACTTGCAGCTGCTACGAACGGCTGCCCCTATGCCATGCCACCCTGCCTTGGAGCCAGCTGAGTTTACACACTAAAACCACCACAAACTGAGCTTTAAAATAAACCTTGCCTTCTTTCATTTTGGTTATCAGGTATTTTGTCTCAGCAATGAGACAAAAGTAACCAACACTACTTGTAAGCGCCAATCTCCTTAACACAGATGAGTTTCCAGCTACCTCTGAAGTGTTCTCAACAGCTAGGTTAAAATGGAGACACAGTCATTACCCAATTCTTCTCACCCATTTGCTCTCCATCTGTGTGTCAGGTTCTATTCAAAGCATTCAGAATACAGCCTTGTTTTTAATGAGGACTAAATCAAGCCTTAATTTAATGAGGGTTTCATGCTAATTAGAAGACAGCCAATAAACAAAAATTATGATAGGTCAAATTTCTTCAAGAATATAGAGCTCAGTGAAGGAAGAGAAAGGTTCTGAGATGAGAGTAATCAGAGGCCTGAAGAAGTCTGAACAGCAACAGAAAACCTTCCTGGCAGGAGGACCCTCTGCAGAGGCTAGAGGGGCAGAGCTCACAAAGAGCTGGGGTAACCAGACATCAAACAACGGTTAGTGGTGCAAGGAAAGGCAGACACACAGAGGCCTTGTGGGCAGTCAGAAAGCACTTACAAAATCTTGAGCAAACTGCTGAATGGAGAGGAGACTCCAGAGTAAAAAGCGGGGAGGGTGGACAGAGAACACTGCCGTGGATCCAGCAATGGTGACTTAGCCTAACAAAGGAGGGAGGTGAGAAGTGGACGGATTCAGGCTATGGCTTGAACACGAGTTCCACGGACGTGGAATTACATAAAGAACAGTAGAGTTGTGGCCAATGAACAAAGCCAACCTTTACGAACACTAAAGAGGACACTAACACAAGTCAGGAGGAAAGGAAAGATATCAGAAACCTACTGAAGGCTGGGACTAATCTTACAAAAGCCAAGTAAGGTCAGGTGTGGTGGCTCAAGCCTGTAATCCCAGCATTCAGGATACTGAGGCAGCAAGATCACTGCAAGTTTGAGGCCAGCCTGGACTACATAGTGAAACCCTGTCTCAAAAACACAAAAATAAATAAACAAACAAACAAAAAGCCTAAATAACTGAAAAGTACAAATGAAGGGAGATGACATGGAGACTACTCTATTAAAATCCTAATCTTCAAAGGAAACAGTGGGTGCCTGTTCCATGTTATGTTTCCATGTTCCATGTTATGTTTAACAAAAGCAATGTGTGAAATGTGCAAATACAAGAAGTGAAATAAACATTAGGAATAGGAGAACCACATGGAATGAGAAGGAGGATTCTGGGCTGATGTCTAAAGAGGATGAAGGTAAAGAAAAAGAATGAACAGAAGACTATGATTTCCCCCACTTATTCTCTTTATGAGGGAAACAAAAGGTGACAAGAGTGTTCTGAGCTCCCCTCTCCTCACTAGAGACCCCATCTTCTGACGAAGGTCCCTACGCCCTGGGATAAGAAGTAAAAAACAGGAGGATCCTTTTTTTTTTTTTTTTTTTTTTTTTTTTTGGTACCAGGGATCAAACTTGCAACCTAGCACTTGCCAGGCAGGCACTCATACCTCTGAGCTAAATCCCTGGCCCAACAGGAGAATCCTTAGGCCTGGGAAGACAAGAGTTAGGAATCAACTACTGAGAGATGGGGTTGTGGGGGAGACCCAGGGCAACAGAAAGGAAAAGGAAATTGCTATGGCAGAACCAGGGACCTCTTTCTGTTTTATGGGTCATATCATAAACTTTGATAAGCACAGGCTTCCTGTGTTTCTTCGGCAGAATGGAGACCAGAGAAATTTTAGGAAACATTTAAAATAAAAATCATAAGAACGTAAGAAAATATCAAATCCAAACATATGCAATCACGGTTTTGCCTTACATTTACATATAAACATTAAGTTTTAGTAATTAAGAACATCATCTGAAAATAATTAAGTACCTGCAGTTATCACAAGTTGCCAAATCAAAGTGATTCATAAGGTAGGAATCCATAAATTCTTTCCCGCATTCTTCACATATTGTGTAATCAAATTCCATAACAGGTCCTAAAAAGTGAAAGATAAATTTCTTAAATTTCTTTTTTTGTGACTAGAACAATGTACCTTCCTCTATTTTACTGGCTTATCATTGTGTATTTTACACCAGACACAAGTATCTTTAAGTAAGAGACAAAATAATGTTATGTCTAAAAATAATCCCTAAGAGAAAAATAAAGCAACATGAGAGAAAAAGAGAACTATCAATGCGGCGAGTATTTCCGAACCCCAGCCACATGCACAATACTAGTGTTAAGTGTTATACTGCTGCTGTAAGAAATGATCACAACTGGAGTGGTTTAAAATAACAAATTTATGTAATCCCAGCACTTGGGAGGCTGAGGTAGGAAGACTGTTTCAAGTTTCAGACCAGGCTGAGCTACAAAGTGAGCTCAAGGCCAGTCTGGACTGTAAAGCGGACCTTGTCTCAAAAAGACAAACATTAATTAATCAATTAATCAGTCATCTTGGTTTAGCAGTCTGATGGGCTCAGTGGGTCGAAATCAAGGTATGTGTAGGGATGCGTCCCCTTCTGAAGACCAGGAGAACACGTTTCCAGCTCCCAGAGACACCTTCATTTCTCTGACCCAAGACTTCCTTCTCCACCTCCAAAGCCAGCAACAGCATTTCTCTCATCACATCGCTCACTCCTTCTCTAACCATGTGGATTATCCAGGATAAGCTCCCTTCTCCAGGTCTTTAACAGCATTTGCAAAGTCCCTGTTGCTCTAATTAATAATATTTACAAGTCTTCAGGGATTAGGCTGTGGACACCTTTGAGGATCATCATTCTGCTTACTATAATCTTGAGAGTACTTCACATCAGACCTGAAGTAGGAGAGAGGAAAGGAATCTGCTTATAACAGCGGAGACAAGCTGCCAGCAGGTAACAAGAACAAGGCAACAGAAAAGAATCAATACAGAATTCACTTCTAAATGGGAAAATTATTAAAAATGGCATGGTTGCTCACACCTATAATCTCAGAACTTGGGAGGCTGAGACAGGAGGATCATTGCAAGTTCGAGATCAGCTTGGGCTAGAAAGTGAGCTCAAGGCCAGCCTGAACTGCACAGCAAGACCTTGTCACAGAAAGAAAGAGGAAAGAAAGAAAGAAAGAAAGAAAGAAAGAAAGAAAGAAATTACATCCTACCCTGTACTAACAGAGCAAAATTTCCCTCTTCCTGTAGTTTCAAACTGGATTATAAACTCCTATTTAGGTCTGTACCCTCAACACCTAGCACAGAAACTTCTCTAGGCAGGGTAAAAACTTTTTAAAAATGCACTCGAAAAGCCTTGCGAGGACCTTAATCCTCCAAGAATTAGTTCTGGCTCGTCTAAATGTCACTTTAGGACAGTGGTGGTGAACCTACACCCTGTGTGCCACACAGGGCTTATTTGTTACAATTAAAGCTCCTAAAGGGTCACCATCACTGCTGTAGGATGGCTGCTGCTGTGAGGCCCCAACCTTAAGAACTGCCTTAAAGTCCAGTGAGAAGAAAGGAGCTGACACCTCTTCACTCTCCTCTATGTTCCTATCACTTCCTGCCTCTACTTACCTCCAAAACAAGAACACTGCTCAATATCCCACCACTCCCTTGTTTTTTTGAGATAAGGTCTCACTAAACTGCTCAAGCTGGACTCAAACTTGCAATCCTCCTGCCTCAGCCTACCCAATGATTATTTCTAGCATTCACTCTGAGGCGTGGTGGTGCACACCTGTAATCCCTGCACTCCGGAAGCTGAGGCAGGAGGATCATTGTGAGTTCAAGGCCAGCCTGAACTGCATAGTGAGACCCTGTCTCAGAAAGACAAAAAAATCCAAAAACAACCCCAAAACGTGGCATGCCCTCATGTACCTGGCACTGTGAAACTTCTAAAACTTCTGACTCTTCCGCAAAGTCAAAATACCAATAAAGGGAGATGTTTAGAATCAACAAAGGCCATCAAAACAGCTCCAACCGTGCAGCTAAAGGCAGTCACTACCCAGGACCTCCACAGCTGCTTCAACACAGCAAGAATGATGGGGGAGGGGGGAGGTGAGGAGAGGGGAGGACTTCGAGGGAGATTACTGGCAATGTGTCTCTTACCATAGTGTTTTAATTTAATATTCACATTTATATTTTTACCATAACCCATATATAACTGACTTACCGAGGCATTAACTTTACATAACAGGTATCTTTCTTTTTAACCCAGGTCTCACTATCTTCTATTTTGTACACTTTTTTTTCCTTCAAATGTAAATCAAAAAATGCCTTAAATTTTATCTCTTGGGATTCCGGCTCCTCATTTCAGGTAATCCACATAATTTCTTTGTTTCTTTTTGCTTGTGAGATGGGTCTCACCATATTACACAGGCTAGTCACCTCCTGTCTTGTCTCTGGAGCAGCTGGGACCCTGAGTATGCCTGAGTTTATCAAGATAATTTCGAGTATTTATTCTATCCTTTAATATATTTGCTGTCCTAACTATTATAAAACAACAGAGACTATCAACATTGAAAGTGAAATAATCATTTCCCTATGTAAGGGCATTTCCATTGATTTTTTTCCTTTAATTTACTAACAAAACCACCGAACATTATCACTCTTACAAAGTTAATTTACTTCCTGGTGACAGTAATTGTGGTGTTATTTTAACATCAACTTTCAAAGAATTATGCACATTACATAAAATAACCAATCTAGACACTCATTTTCTGAAACACTGACAGTTTACCTGGTTGATGAACAATGTTTCCAACTTTATGTTCTTCTTCTTCTTCCTCTTCCAAAATGAAGCCCCCTTTTGTGTCAATTATTTTGGGGGGCGCTTTTACGTTTGTCATCCCTAGTAAATAAAAGTAAATAGAGGTGGTCACCAACTAAACTAGGTAAATCCACATGTTCTTTTATGCATAAACAACTTCTTCCGATTTATCACCTATTGAATAGGACAAGTGTTACCTTTAAATCTACATGCCTCTCCCAGAACCTCATGCCCCCATAGGTAGATCTTTGGGGAGGTGACTAGACTAGAGGAATGTGGTACTCATCAGAGGATCCCTCACTGATGAATTCACAGCTAAGTGTGATGCTGGGAGGTTAAGCCGGCTCGCAGGAGGTGGGTCACTGTGGCATGACATGAAAGGTACAGCTCCTTCTTTTCTCCTTAGATCCCTCTCTGTTTCCTGTCACATGCCATGAAGGTACCTTGCCTCTGCCATACCCCTGTCATGCCATTCTGCCTGGGAACCAGCAGATTACTGAAACCTCTACAAAATGTGAGCCAAATTATCCCTGGGTGTTAGGTATTATAGCTCAGTGATGAGAAAGTAACTAGGTAACAAAGATACCAACATCATCGCTTGTATCCAACCCTATACTGAAGGTCCCTGCTAGTGCAACATGGCAAGAAAACCAAAAAAAGCAAAGATGGAAAGAAAGAAGTAAAATGGTATTCACGTGCAGAAAAATGTGACTATGTGTATAAAATATCCACAGGAATCTACAATTAGAAGTAACAGCTAACAATGACCTCAGAAGAGCTGTATAAAACCTCTATACTGAAAATCTCAGAATACTAACCTAATGGATAAATATACCACATATGGAGTTAAAGTCTTGATGTATTATAAAAACATCAATTCTCCCCTAAATCCCCTATATAAAGAGTCAAGGTGATCCTAGCCAAATCCCCAGAAGTAGGGCATTAACATGGGAGAGGGGATGATGATTTGATTCCAACATTTATATGTAAACAGAACTTAAAGCAGCATAAAACAGGAATATTTATATAACCAGACTTACTTTAAGTCTTACTTTAAACCTTAAGATGCAGAAGCATTGGCACAAAGATAAACAGACCAATGGAACAGAACAGAAAGTCTGAAATAGACATATAATTATTATGTATACAAGGCTCCAAAGCAATTCAGTGGGAAAAAGATAATCTTTTTAATAAGTGGTATCAAGATTTATAATGAAGGTGCCACTAAAATATAATTTTAAAAAGACAGTCTTTTCAATAAATGAACTTCGAATCAACCTCATATAAAACACACTCATTTTAAAAAACCTTTAAAATGGATCATAGTCCTCAATGTGAAAGGTAGAACAACAAAGCCCCTGGACCACTGGTGGCAAATCTATGGCATGCGTGCCACAGCAGGCTGTTTGTTATCACTGAAAGCTCCAAAAGGTTCGCTATCACTGCTCTCGCTGAAAACACAGGGGATAACTTCATGAATTTGAGGTGGCCTAAAAGCTTCTTAAACAGAACACAGGAAGTACTAATCACAAAACACGCTAAATTGGAAGAGGGAAAGCTCCCCTTGAGAATCCACTGGATGAAAGGTATCAGGTAAGTGGACCCAGAATGCATGATTTTGATTTCATGAATAGAGTAGCAATGAGAATCAAGAAGAGGGGAGACCCCGAGACTTGAGCAGCATCCTGAGTACTTCTAAATCATGCCCCAAGCAGCCCAGTCTCTTCCTTCTGCTCGGGGTAGTATCTAACATAGCTCACCTGCTCTCTAAAAGCAGGAAATGAGGCCTTCTCTATATAAAACTCAGGGTCACTCACATAGCTACAAGAAACCTGAACCACAACTCAGGTCTCTCTGAACTCCAGGGCACTTCTGAAATTAGTTCCTGTTCAGAACAGGAAAAACAACATTTGAAACACCTCTGATTCCAGACACCAATTCCCCACAGACCCCCCCCCCCAATAATTCTCCAGTGGACACTAACTAGGTGTCCCATAATTCAATTCTGACGCTGTCTACCTGGATGCAGTCCCTAAGACAGCCCCATTTCAGATGCCAACTGCAAACCCCAAGTGCTTCTGGCCAGCTGGCTATAAATCAGGGTTCCAAAGACTCCTTCCTTGGATTCAGCTAATTTGGGGACTTAGGAACACAGAACTTAGGAAATCTTTTCTTTAATACCAGGAATTGAACTCACAACCTTGAACTTGCCAGACAAGGGCTGTGCCGCTGAGCTATACCCCTGGCTCAGAAACATCTTTACTTAGCAATTCCCCATTTATTAAAAAGCTATTAAAAGGATACAGATAACAGCCAAATAAAACAATACACTGGGTAAAAGGGCAGATCCGAGTCAGGAGCCAGTACAACAGCTTCCTTCTCCATGGAGCTGGTATACACTCCTGGCACCCAAAATTCCAAACTCCCAGAAGTGTAAGCAGACATTGATATTCCTAGATATCAGCCTTCAAGCAGCCTTTCTAAGGAGAGCATCTCAGGGCTGCTTTGTTAAGCATCCAGAACAATTGACTGAGGAAGACAGCACCCATGACAGCCTATGGCAAAAATGATAGTAATAACAGTAGCTAGTATTTACTAAAGGTTAGTTTCACACAAGACAATGCCAAAATCATTTTTAAAGGATTAATTTAACCATAACTAAGTCAGAAAACGGGAAGCCTATTTAGGGAAACATCTGTTTAAGAACTGCCTTGAGGGTTTACAGGTGGGAGACACAGGAAGAAAGTGATTTATTACTAACGTCATACAATAAATTGAAGTGGGAACTTTGCAAAATATGTAGCAACCAGATTCAAAATTCTTAATACATAAGTCCTCTCATGTAGAACTGTGGACAGTGAATGAAATGAGAGACGGAGTATTCAAAGACATTCATCTGCTCCCCAAAGAGCCACGACCTCATCAGTGAAAACCTACATTGCAATACCCAGCCATGTCTCATTATCAAGTATTTTCTAGATTTGTCTGTGATAAGGACCTCTTTGGAACTGGAACTCTTTGTTTTCTCTACATTTATCAGGCTGTTGAAAACTGGGTGGGCCCTTTACATCTTCAGAAATTTCCAGTGAACAGTGTGAGGTTCAAGATCCACCAGTGTTTCAATACCTACATAGAGAAAAGGAGAACAACTCTGGATATACCTAATTCTCAAAGTCAGTACTACAATCAAGGAAGATGATCAAAATCACTTCACACACTATAAAGCATCACACAAATAGCGACACTACACAAATAAATGAGTTGGCAAACTTCTTTAAACCTGACTTAGTTGCAAGCAGATTCTCTGTACACAGTTGAGCATAAAAGTTCTAATCAGTATCAACAGAGCAAATCTGATGGCAATTATAAAAGGAAGTTTTACATTGTATACAGCTGTAAAATAAACAGGCAGTGGTTTAGAGTGGGTCAGTGCAGAGACCGACCACTTTGTCGCAGAAGGAGGGAATGTATGAGAAATGGGACTGAATGGCAGAGGCATTCCCACCTTTCATTCAGTCAAGAAGGATCTGAGCACCAATTAGCATACTTGTGTTAGGGGTTTAAGGTTAGAGAACAAGACACAAGACTGCGGTGGTGTCTGCATCAAGAAATCTTAACCATAGTGAAGAATCACATAAGCTGAAGATTCCTTAAGGCACAGAGGGCAGAACAATACCTGTGCTGGAAAGATAAGAAACTGGATTAATGATAGGGGGAAAAAAGGAAGTTTGGAGAAATAACGCAGAGTCAGATGAAGTCAAGGTGCTTTGTGTTTACCACGTGGGCAACAAAAAAACTATGGAAAGGTTTCAAATAGGAAAAAGATTTGTGTGTGAGGCATATTGACATGCAAAGAAAAAACTAGGAAGCTACTGCAACAATTAAAGAAAGCATGATACGAGGCAGAAATAAGAACAGAAGAAAGGGAACAGTCCTAAAAACTGTAGGTATAATTTTGGTGAATTACTTCCAAAAGCAAGGCCGACAGGAATGGTTGAGATTTTTTTAATGACAAGCCAGCTGGCAGTTGCCCTGTTTGTCAGATGCCCTGAGTTCCTGATGAACTTGTGCGTCAGAACCAGAGCACATCAACCTTCCTTTTCAGATGTTACACAGCAGTAAAACACAGATACCAAACTCTGCCCCTTTTATTTTCCAGGAGGGCTATGAGAATCCAACAGGATAATCTGAAAAGCGTGGAAGCCTTAGAGGTTACTTTTAGCCACGGAGGGCAGTGGCTCACGTCTCTTAGCCGTCTCCAGGAAGAAGAGGCCCACTCCGCCGCTTTTACCTCGGTGGATGAACCAGGGATTATTTAAATGAGTCACAGGTCTCTAAAAGATCAGCACAAGGATCAGCCCTGGGGCAGGTAGAAGCGCAGTAGGTTGAGATCAGAAAGGGAAGGTCTGGCAAGTCGAGGCGCCACGGCACAAGTGGGCAACCCCTGCCGGCGCGGGTGCAGCCCAGGCGGAACCCGAGAGTCAGGTGCCTGGGTTCCATCCCGGAGTCACCCTGCGGCCGGACCCGACGCTCCGAGCGCCAGGCCCGCGGGGGCGGGTCCTTTCCCGGCCCCCACCCGGGGGCAGGATGTGCGCGCACCACACCGAGAGAAGTCGCACATCCGGGGGACACCCGGGCCAGCGCGAGCCCCCGGGGATCAGGAAGGAGGGGAAGGGGGCGCCGCCAGAGCCCAAACCTCCAGTAGCCGCAGCCGCCGTCGCCGGGTAGGGCCGGGCCGCTAGCCGAGCCTGGCGCAGCATCAGCGCCCGCTGCCGCTTTCGCTCGATGCTCGCCCGAACGGAGGCAGACAGCTCCACTGGCTGCTCGGAAGTCGCGGGCTCGGACGATGCCGCCTCGGCCTCCGCCATCTCCAGCCTATTCCTCCGCGATAGGCCAAGCCCAGTTTGGCCGACTTGGGGGCGCGGTCCCTGGCTTCAGGGAGCAAACGCGCCTGCGCAATGGAGGGGGCGAGCCGGAAATGGGGCGGGGAGCGCACCCTGGATGTGCGTAGAAACAAGTCCTACAGGGCTGCTCGCTTGAAATTTGGGTGTAAGTGGGAGCGGAGGTGATGTTTTAGGCTCTGATCATTTGTTGTGGTGTGTGTGTGTGTGTGTGTGTGTGTGTGTGTGTGTGTGTGTGTGTGTTTGCTTTTGATGGGGAATCGAACTCAAGACCTCGCGTTTGCCAGGCGGGCACTGTGCTACTGAGCTATATCCTAAGCCCCTGATCATTTTTTAAACAGGAGTTTTGCTTAGTGGGTCCGACCCAAAAGTAAATCCGAGCTCTGATGCAATCTTTGGCAAGTTGTTTAGCCAGAATTTAGTTTCTTCGATGGTAAAATGATTTGGGGGCAACTTCCAAGGGTTATTGGGGAAATTAAATTTGTCACCACCATGTCTGGCACATAGAAAGCTTCAAACAGTGATAGCAGTGAGTAGTAGTGGTACCAAATGCAGGGGTCTGGGCTGGGAATTTAGCTCAGCGGCATAAGCGCCTGCCTGGCAAGTGCGAGGTCCGGTACCACAAAACAAACAAAACAAATGCAGGGATCAGCCCATAAATTTGTTGGGCACGTGCCCAAGAGAACAGAGCTTTAGATTTGAAGAAGACTTGGGTTCAGATTTTCACTGGCGGTGACTTCCGCAAATACAATACCAGCTGCTAAAGCTAGAACTTAGTTAAGTTTTATATGAAATTTTCCTGATGTGTATGAGCTGCTGCCCGATAGTGAAGTGGGGCCAAATAACCTGACTTCACAGAAATCTGGCAAATCGAACAGAAGAAACATAGTGTGCTTTTCCAAACATGTTTGCTTTTTCCTTATGTAAAACTGAAATCCAGAACATACTTCCTAATCACTATATGCACCATCTAGGACTAGTTTTTAGACCAACCAAGCACACAGGGTTGGTTTCCCATTAACTTTCTTTTTTTTCTTTTTATCGGTACCAGGGATCGAACTCACGACCGCCTGCTTGCAAGGCAGGTGCTTATGCCACTGAGCTAAATCCCCGGCCCCACCCCCATTAACTTTCAGTGATTAGCACTGGAGAAGAAGGATCTGTTGGCCATATGTATTATTTACAATTGTACATATTTGCAAAAAGCAAATACATGGTGAGATATTCAGGGTTAGCTTGAGCTAAAAAGTCTCAAGGCATCTCTACTCCTTTTCCTCTCAGATCTCTAGTCCTGTTCCCTGATAGTATCCAGAGGGGAAAAGTTTCATCTTGTTGATATAGGGATGATATCAGAATCTCCAAATGTGACACAAGGGAAATATTACAATTCCCAACCTGTTGGATGTCTGGTACGCCAGGTTCATGTTCTCTAAAACTGAAGAATGAATACTAGGAACAATGCAAGTTAAGAGTGGGAAATATTGAGGAATAGAAAGTTCCTACCTGAGAGGACAGGGGGGGACACCTGGAAAGTGGGTTGCCCAAGGACCCCACTTCTTAGGAAAGATTTTGTGGGGCTCAACCTCATGGGTGCAACATAAGTTACAGATAAGCTTAACCAATAGGATTTTAAGTATACCTGCTTAGGTAAGTTTGATCCAACAGGGAAGCAAGTCACCTAGCAGGTGGGCATGGAAAGAACAAAAAACTTTCTGGATGGTAGGATTTGGTTGCTCACTGGGGTGACTGCTACCTATCTGGACTGTGTTGGACCAGGTATTATCACTTATCCCCTGAGGAGTATATAAACCTAGTCCTGTTGTTATCCTGAAGCCTGCTCTCCAGCTAATGTACCTCAACCATCCACTGTTGTAATGTGTTTTCACCTTTTGTCTTGACTCTTTTTTTCCCCCCAAGAGGTCAGCTCTGTCTGACTGCCTATAAGATTTCTACCGAATTTAGCTGTCTATTATATCTTGACAGCAAAAGCATAAACAACAAAAGAAATAGTATATTGGAGCCAGACCTAGTGACACAGGTCTCTCTAATCCCAGCACTGTGGAAGGTTAAAGTAGGAGGATCATAAATTTTAGCCTAGCCTGGGCAATTTATTGGCTTAGCAAAATCCTGTCTCAAAATTAAGAAAGAAATAAAGCACTGGGAATGCAGCTCACTGTGAAGGCCCTGTGTTCAATCTCCAGTGCCACTAATTAATTAATTAAATTCAATTTAAACTTTTTCACACCAAAGAACACTACCAAGAGAGTTAACCAACAAAACAATGGAGAAGTGTTTGCACTTCTAGTCTAGTCTAGTCTAGTCTAGTATCTGGTCTAGTATCCAGAATATATAAATAACTTCCAATTCAATGAAAATCCAATTTAAAAATAAGCAAATGACGTAAATATGCATTTTTCTAAATAAGATATGCAGGTGGCCAACAAGCATATGAAGAGATACTCATTAGTCATTAGGAAAATGCAAATCAAAAACACAGTAAGTAAACAACTCTCCACTAGTATAGCTAGAATTTAAAAAGAAAAAGTTGAAAATAGCAAGTATTGATGAGGAGATGAAGAAGTTAGAGCCCTCCTACACTGGTGATAGGAGTATAAAATGTAGCTACTAAGGAAAACAATTTGTCCCTTAAAAGTTACACATAGGATCTGGGGTCTGAGTCAGCGTTTCACTCATATTTATACCCAATCGGATTAAAAACAGGTGTTCAAACAAAAACTTCCACCCAAATGTTTATGGCAGAACTATTCACAGTGACCAAACCTGGGAAACTACCCCAGTGTCTATTAACTAATGAATGGATAAAAACGTAGTATATCCATTCAATAGGACATTATTCAGCTGTGAAAAAGAGTGAGGTAATGGTTCATGCTATGACATGAAAGAATCTTGAAAACATTATGCTAGTTGAAAAGCCACTCACAAAAGGCCATGTATTATGAGATTTCATTTATATGAAATATTCAGAATATTCATTATGACAATAAACAGATTACTGATTGCCAGCGGCTGAAGAGACCAGTGTGGGTGGGGGACTACCTAATAGGTCTGCAGTTTCCTTTTGAACTGATAAAAATGTTTTAGAACTATATACTTGGTTGTTGAATAACGTTGTGAACACACTGCATGTCACTAATAGTAAGTTTTATTTTATCATGTTTTGCCACACTAATAGAAATTTCAAACTCTAGCACTTTTGCAGGCAACTGAGTTATATAAAAATATTACAGGCTGTCAGAAGGGCTGGGTCCTCAAAGGAGTCAGTTCAGAAGTCCAGATACCTTGCAAGTATGGAGGAGACCCCTCCTGCTGTGGGCCAGGTCTCAAGACAAAAGATCAAACTAATGCATCAGATCCTAAGGACTGATACTCTCAATAGGTCTCTATCACCCTGAGAAAACCAAGGATCAGCATCCCAAGCCCTACAGGAATAGTCACTGCTCTTTAAGCACGCCCACTTGTCCCCCATTTAATCAGTTTTACCTGAGTAGTTAATCTTATTGGTTACCCATAGTTCTGTCCCACCTTATTCCCACCTTGGACCTGTCTCACCTTGTGGTTTTACTCTATAAAAGTCCCTAGAAAAGACAGAGTCCCAGGCAACCCACTCAGGACCCCTTCTGTCCCTCTTTGACAAAAGCTTTCTTTCTCTCACTAAATACAATTTGCTCTTAACCTCCCTTGTTCCTAAAATTCACTCTTCGATTTTAGAGAACACGAGCTCATATCTAGTATATCATTAGGGCCCAGGTAGATAATGGAAGTTAATGAACCTGACCAGGTGTGAAAGTGAGGTAAACAGGAGTGTGGAGGTCTATGAAAGGGGCAGCATTTATACAGGACTCCAACTGGTGGCTGGGGCCCACCGTTGCCAAGATTGCCCATCTCTTTAAGAAAAGTCACTACCTCTCCAATTTTAATGTTCATGCAAGTTGCACAGTGATCTTGTTAAAGTGCAGATTCAATCAGTAGCTCTATGGTGGGACCTGAGCATGGGCATTTCTAAAAAGTTCCCAAGGTATCTCAGCTCTACAGCCCGCACTTTGAATTGTAAGGGTCCACATCGAAAGTTCTCGTGCTTGCCTGAACTTTTGGAAGTACATGGAGGGGAAAACAGTGGTGCTCAAGCCCCGTACCTGTAGGTTCTGATGTTATAACAGAGGGAAGTCTAGCATCAGGATTTTTTAAGGTCTTATTTCCCTCCCACCAACCCCCCGTAATTCAGATTCACCACAGACGATGAGTGCCAGAACCTGAGGTAACCTCCAGATTCTACCTGTCCCTGAGTGTCTAAGACTGTGGAATATTTCTGAGAGACTAGGTAACAGCCATCCCCTAAGGTGACCTTCTGAGAGTCACCTTCTCCTTAGAACCTTCTCTCCAGCAAAGCGTTCCAGCCGGTTGGTCTTCTTTTGCTGCTAACCCCCTCTCCTGGGGCATAAGAACTTTTGTTAGTGAGCTTCGATTCATTGGGTCTGAATTGTTGACTGATCCTCAACCAAGCTAGAAAGGAGACTCCCTCTTGGCAGGAAGGCAGAGTGCATACCCTGGTCAGTGTCTGCCCCGAGACAGCAGAGCCAGGGGTTTGCCCAGAGCGAGGCGGCAGTGAGTCATTGTGGCAGGGGCATGAAAGGAGAGCAGGCAAGAAAATAAAGCAGTGGGTGCTATCTCGCCTCTCCCCGTGCACAGCCGGAAAAACTGTGACCACAACCATCTTCCTGCTTTGTACCTCTCTCGCCTCCCAGCCTGACTAATTCTGGCTAAAAGAAAGGTACTTAACAAAGGGACAGAAAGAATGGAGAGCCCCAACCAAAACCCAAAAGGAAGCAGGCAGGTAAGAATGGAATCCAGGAAGGGGAGTGAGAGATCTGGCAGGGTTTCCTGACTGCGGAGCCCTCCTCTTTAATTGCACTGCGGGGGCTACTCATGCTTGAGGTGACAGGATGTGAATGCTGTTTGTCTTAGTAGGTGGTACATGTGTCTGGCTTTCTTTTTTCTTTTTTTCCCTCCTAATTCCCTGGGGCTTTTCTTCTTACTGTGGTCACTTTGAGCATCGCTGAGATCCATTCACAACAAGGAATCATCTGTAGGAAGGAGCACATCCTTTCTGGGACAAGGGCCAAAAACAGAAATTAGCCCACTGCTGTTGGGGCAGGTCACCTAGATTTTAGTGACCTAGGAAACCCGATCACTTTGGCAGTGAGTAGCTAGGCAAACCCCTGCTCCATCTCCCTGCATCAGAAGATGAAGAGGCTGAGACAAAGCCATTACAGTGGAGACCTGACCAACAAAATGTTTATGCACTGAGATGAAAGCTCACAGAGATTGTCTTTCCAAAAACAGGAAAGACAGGGAGTGCACAAGTGATTCAACTAAGGGCAGGTCCAAGGGAATGAACTGTCCACTACTGAAACCGCATGCTCCTTTCCTCATGGAGCAGGAAGGGCTGGGCTGCATCTCCCAGACGCTAAGTGCAGCTCTGAGAACGCTGCTCCTCAGTGCCTCCTCTGGGAAGTCTGCCTTGACCCCTTCTCCTAGCCGTCTCTCCACCTCCCACGTGCTGATGCTGCGGCACTTAGCACACCAGAGGCCACATTGGCCTGCCATCCTTCCTAGGTTATCCCATCCTTGAGACCTGGCATGGCCTGGACACCCAACTGTCTCTATGGCTTAGTATAGCACCCAGCACTCAGTATGCTGTGCATGAACTGCAGTCCACACAGCGGGGTTACAGGCTTGCGCTTTCCGTGCTCAGTGTTTGTGTAATTAAAAAATGCTTGATGCTTGACTCTGAAGCATCAAAACTCAAGGTCCAGGGCTGAATCCGTGATGTCCTTAGGAAATGCTGTACTTTGGAACAGTCCATTGCATATGTTCTGGCTTTGGCCATCATAGATTGCAGTCAAAAGTATCACTTACCTGGTGTTTACTATGTGCAGAAAAGGCATTTTCAAAGCATTTAAAATATATTAGCTTAGGGGCTGGGGATTTAGCTCAGCGGCATAAGCACCTGCCTTGCAAGCAGGTGGTCGTGAGTTCGATCCCTGGTACCGGTAAAAAGGAAAAAGACAAAAAAAAAAAAAAAAAAAAAAAAAAAAAAAAATATATATATATATATATATATATATATATATATATATATATTAGCTAGGGGCTGGGGATTTAGCTCAGCGGCACAAGTGCCTGCCTGGCAAGCATCAAGTCATAAGTTCAATCCCTGATACCAAAAACAAAACAAAACAAAGCAAAGCAGAATATATTAGCTATCATAATCTCTGCAACTGCTCAATGATCTCTTTCACTAGTCCCAGTTCATAGGTAAGACAGCTAAAACACAGAGCTGTTAAATAACTTGTTCAAGATCATCACAGCCAGTGAATGCAGAGCTGGGTTTAAGCCCAGCCCGAGCCTCAGTATCCTCAACCACTGAATTCTAAATGTCTAAAATAAAGACAGACCTTCTGTTACTTCTTCCTCTGGGCTTCTGCCTGGATTAGTCGGGGCAGGGGAGGTCAGCAGACAGGCCTGAGCTCATTCATGTGGCTGACCACAGAGAAATCCACCTCTACTTGAAGCCTGGTCCTGGGGTTACCATTGCCCAGCCTGGGCCGAGGGAGGATAAACATGGCCCGGGGTTCCCCTATGCTGTGGATGAACTCCGGTCCACATAATGGGGTTATGGGCTTGTGGTTTCCTCTTCTCTTATTACCCCAACTGGGGTTTCCTTTTCAATTACCTTTGTTACACGCGCGGTTGCCACTCCAAACCACAAACTACTTATATTTCATTGGCAAGTGCCTTCTCTAATAGTTACGGTTCTGTTGGATAGATTGAATATCCATCACCAGATGCACTTGTTTCTGCAGTTTCCATAGCACTTGGAGAGTGGCTGGGTGTTTCTGCCTCTGTCCACTCTCTGGACCCACGACTACCGCCTAGTTCCGTCCCCACCACCCCTTCCTTGACCAGCCTCCAATCTAGTCCTCCAGGGTCTGGGTCAAACACTTCCCATCCGTCCTCCAATCTCACAGTTCATCTTCTGAAGCACGTCTTTGACCACATCTTCCTTCAGGTCGAGCTGCATTTTTGACTCCAAGCCATAGATAATGCCAACTTCCTGTCACCTGAGTATAGCAGCCCCTTGGTGGTGGTGGGGTCTTACCTTCTGTAAATCTCCATTGAAAACAATGCTTTGGCCAAACTGAACAAAGATGTATTTTCTAGACCTGTTTTGTGCCCCTCTGCTTTTGTGCTTTGCCCATGTTATTTTCTCTCCCAGCATTCTTTTATTCATACTTTCACTCAGTCTTATATTTGTATAGTTATTCATTCTGCAAACTTTACTGTGCACCTGCTCCAATCCAAGTCCTGGGCTGAGAACCAGGGATAAAGCTACAAGTGTCCTGATTGTCCTCTCAAAATTTCAAAGTCATGTGCCGAGGATTTAGTTCAGTAGCATAAGTGCCTGCCTGGCATGAGTTTGATCCCTGGTACAAAGAAAAAAAAAAAAAGACTTTAAAGTCTAATCTGGGCTCCTTCAGTGACCCCAGGACCACTTTACTACCCCATGCCCTTTTGAGGCCTTTTCCTGATGTTTCAGGTGAAATAAGCTCTTGCCTCGTCTGAACCCTGTCCTTTCCCTTTCATCCTGACCTCCGAACACCCACACTTGCTAACCCTATTTCATCTGAATGACGCAAGATGCACTTTGGCTTCCTGAGGTAGAATCCTATCACATCCAGGGAGCAGTGGAGGGGTGGCCCACAATCCACACTGATCAACCCAGTGTAGTTTGACATTGCAACCAGTGAAAACGCAACCCTGAGAACTTACACAATTCCTCCCGGCTTTGCCAAGGTTTACCTCACACACCGTACGACTCTCCCATTCAAAGCGCGTGATTCAGTTTCAGTGTATTCCACAGTGTAGCACAGCCGTTTCTACAACCAGCTGTGGCACATTCTCTCCACTGTGGGTGCTGCCTCACTGTTAGCAGGTACCCTCCCCTCTCCTCAAACTGCCTGGGCCCTGAGCAGCGCTAATCTGCTTTCTTTCTCAATAGATTTAACCACCCTGCTTACCAAGAGTGTGTGTGTGTGATCTTTGAGCATGTTTTCCAGGGCGTTTAGTGAAGGAGTCTCTCTGTGTGTTTGGGAAGTGGCCTTCAGTGACCACACTGAGTGAGAACCAGCAGTGCGACAGGACCACTGAAAAGCGATGCTGTGGTCAGAGCAAAGGGTAAAGCGTCTGATGAGGGAGGTGCTGGCCCCACTGCTCTGGGCTACGTGAACCACACGTGGAGCCTGGGCAGTTCTAGACACCATCTAGGGAACTGGGGGACCACTTGGGGGCCAGGATGTGGAAAGGAAAGCCAAGCTCTTAGCACCTGGGGAAGGGCAAGAGGGAACAGTGAGAAGTCAAGGTGCCACATGGCCACCCGTCTTCTGTGGGGCAGCGGGCACAGGTGTGGGGGGCCTTTGTGCTGTCATTAAATGAACATTTACAGAGGCCTCACAGGACAGGACTTTTCCTCAAGGGCCACCAAACCCACAGCTACACTCATAGCTCACTCTGCTGGCCCCCATCTCTAAGGAGCTGAAGCAAAAAGGGACAGCAGAGTAGAGCCTGACCCCCAGTCCATGCTGCAGGGACAAGGAGCATCAGAGGCGACTGGGAGCAAACAGGAGGCTCGGGGCGGGGGTGGGCAAGCGGTCATGAAATGGATGAGCAACTGGCATTTGCTTTTCAAATGTAAAGAAATTTCTATCCTCTCTCAGACAAATTTGTTAGGCTCTTTTTCCCTTTACATTTTTCTTTAAAAAAATTTTAACTGACAATTAAAAATCATACATCTGTATGGTTATAACATGATGCTTTGATAAATGCATACATTGTACCATAGCTAAATCAAGTTAATTAATCTTATCTCACGTATACTTACTTTTATGGTGAGAACACTTAAAATCTGGTCTCTTAGACGAATACCCGGTGGGATTGCTGGATCGCATGGTAGTTGTTTAATTTTTAAAGAAACACACTATATTTCTTAACATTCCTGGCTCTACCAGTCTTTTTTCACTGTTGATAAAGACATGATTAAGAAAGGAAACAGAAAAATAATGGTTTATGCACAGGGAGACATGGGGCTTGCCTGATGCCTTTGGTGCTAAGAGGACATAGGAAGGGCAGCAGGTGGCAGGGACGGGCTACAGCAGGCTGAACGAGGGGGGCCACGTCTTCCACTCTGCTGAGGAGGGGCTCAATGTGAAACCTTCCAGTTTCTAACTATTGACGCTACCGTTTGGAAGAGTACTCAGGCTTGAAATTCCTTCCCCCTGCAGTATTGTAACTCTGCTTCTGTGCCCTGGGTGTGGTGCTTACTGCCCTGGAAGTGGCCTTCTGTATCTGTGGGCTGCTGAGCTAGTGGAAACAGGCTCCCCCCTTTAAACTGAAGGTCATCTCCCTACAGTGCACCTGCCCGCCACCCCTGCCCGTGTGCATCCTCACCCTGCTCCCTGGGCCACTTGTTCATGCACAGACTCAGCCCGGGGCTCAGTAGCAGAGCATCAATTGAATCTAATAGAGCCCTGTGTGATGAGGTCCTCAACAGTAGGAAATACGTATTCTTTATCTCTGATCCCTCAGGCCTCTTGCCCACCTATGCCTGGAACAGAGAGAGGCCCAGTGGGAATACTGTAGCCTCCCAGTTCCTTGGGGAAGATGTTCCCTTGCCTAGTACGGTGAGCAGCTCACATGGGCTTTGCTGGACTTGTGGCCCCCATGAACCACTGACATTCCAGCTCTGCATTCCTGCTGGTTACATGTGTGGCATCTTTTGAAACATTCAGGCATACATTTTAGGGGGAAGGTGCTAGGACTTTAGGGGTGAAAGAATTGTGGTGAGTGATGCTGATGCTAAGGGGTGAAGATATGTTCAGAGCTGGCTTCGAGTTCCAGTTAAGTTATTTTGCACCAATTTCTTCATCTATAAAATGGGGATAAATTATCTACAAGCCTGTACATTACCAGTAGGTACTTTGATTTGTTTTTTTTTTATTCTATTTATTATTGAGTACCTACTGAGTATTGTGCTATAACCAAAACTTATGTAATAGCGAGTGTTTTGTCTCCTGATGAGTGATAGCTATTCAGGAATCAGACCTTTGGCAAGCTAATGTTGGCTAACTTAATGTTTGGCTAGTTTTCAAATATGGGATACGTAGGGAATAATTGGACACATGCGTGTATACCATAATCCTTTAAAGTCAAAAATATCATATTTGAAATGAAGATTTCCCAAGTGCTTAAAACAAAATCTACAGGTATGTTCTTTGGATTCAAAATTAGAAATTACGGAGCACTTTGGTACACCTGCGTTGTTGCACCCTATAGCCATTAGGTGGCAGCAAAGTACTCTATAAATGAAACGGGACTCAGGTGTCCCGGGCTTACAGATCCACCAAATGTATTTACATGCACACACACGCGCACACACGCTCCTTTTGGGTTGAAAAGTTATAAACCACACTTTGCATTGGGCTATGAAGTTGAGGAGGTCATTTATTAGCAAAAGCATTTTGCAGTAGGCACGACATACCGCCCAAAAGGGAAGGGTTACTGGACATACTGGACATACTGGACATGGACTTTCGTCCTTGCCCCAGTCCTTGTGCCGTGTGATCTTTGGACAAATCACCACCTGTGGGGACCCCCCACCCCAGTAACCCGAGAAGGTCTAGGCAGGACATCTCCAAGGCACCTTTCAACTGTCGATGACTAAGATTCTGAAACGAATGAAAGGCATGAGGCGTGGCAGGGGCCAGGGAGGGGGGCACGGACCAAGCGACCTCTGGCTGCCCTCCCTCGCTGGGCCGGGAGCTGCGGATTTGTCCCCAGCCCGGGGAAGCCAGGTACAGGCTCCTCCGGCCTCACAAAGCGGTGCGGTTAGAGTCCTTGGGTGGCGGCGATGCTTTCCGGAGAGCACACGATGCTTATCATCTTTTGTGCAGCTCGCTGCGGAAGCCACCGAGACCACCCAGCCTGACAAAGAAAGGAATTCTTGTCTGCAGTTGACAGCCTCGGGCTGACGGCTTTCCATTTGCCCCTGAGGCTGTCACTCGCAGAACAATGGCAGCAAGCAGGGTGGCTCTCACCTGAGACCGGCGCTGCCGCCAGGGGCGGGACAGCCGGACGGGGGCGTCGGGTGTCCCCCGGGTCGCGGGGTGAGACCCCTCCCGCCTGCAGCAGACAGGCTCCCGGGTTATTGTCTGTGTGACCGTGTCTCTCTCTGCAGGTCAGAAAGCCCTATGCACCTCACTCTTCGGTCTTAAAAGGCCAAAAAATACCGATAGAAGAACACAAATAAACCCCAGAAGCATTCTGCTGAGCAAAATATACACACACTGAAAAAGCACCCACCGTATGTTCCATTTCTGGGAAAACTAAGCTGTGGTGTTGGGATCAGGCCAAGGTAGTTCCTTAGGAGAGTGGGGGCTTGGCTGCAAACGCCCGGAGAGGGCTTTCTTGGGGATGGGAGGAAACACCCGTGTTCCCCATGCAGTGCGACGGGTGCACACGTCTTTGTATAGCTCACTGAGCTGGGCACTTATAATCAACGCATTTTACCACATGCAATTTATACCTCAGTAACACCGGTTAAAAAGCTAAACTGCGAAAACATTTAATTAACGTGACTTTCTTCCTCAAAAGAAATACATGCTCAAACTAGAAGCTTTGTGAGAGGACAGATTTAAAAAAGAAAAGGAAAATCCTATCTTATTACCCAGACATAAACATGATTATTTTCATATTGTTAGTGATAACTTTTGTTTTCACAAAGAAGCAGAGTTTTGTAATCTGATTTATTTATTTATGCATTGACTTGGCACCATATAGAGAGAGAGTTAACATTTCACCAGATACAGAAGAGTGTCAAGTAAACAATTTATCCTACTCTCTGGAATTAATCACTTACACCAATTTCGTACAGACCCTCCTAATGATACAGCAGACATTTACAAGTATATACATAATTTTTTTCCTCAAGTGGAAAAAAATTGGCAAAATTCCATGCATACAGTTTGCATTTATATTAGCTGGGCTTCTTAATATAACCTGATAGCATGAATATCTACGTTGTTAAAATGTTTTACTATTTTATTTCACATAGGTTTTGGGCAACCATAAAACAAACAAAAATATACAAAGTCGTAAAACTCAGGGTCAGGAGTATAGCAGCATAACGCATGCCTGGCAAGCACAAGGTCCTGAGTTTAATTCCTGATACACAAAAAAAGAGAAGGAAAGAAAAAGGAGAAGAAAAGAAAAAAGAGCAAAACACAAAGCATTTTTACAAATTGACTCTACTTTCCTGGCCTGTACCACTGTAAGAGAGCATTTTCAGCATTCCAGAAAGTCTTTGGGACACATAATTGCTGTGTCCCTTCCCCATCCAAAGCAACAGGACCCTGACTTCCAGTTTCCAATAGGCTTTGCCTGGTGTTTGAGGTTTTTAGGGTGAAATTATCCTCTATTTATTTTTTTGTCTATATTCTTTCATTTGACAGTATAGGAATGAGATTCACTCGTGTTGCCTATAAGCGACAGTTTATTCACTCATGGCCCTTGCAAGTATTTCTTTCTATGAACAAAGCACAATTTTTTTACTTGAAATTTATATGTGGGCTATTTCCAGGTTTGGCTGTTTTAGGTGCTATAAATAGTCTTTAATGTCTCTTAGTGACCCTGTATATACATTCTGTATACATGCTTAGAAATGAAATTGCTAGGATCACAGATATAACTCAGAGGCAGAGCACCGGCCTGGCAAGTGTGAGGTCCTGAATTTGAGTCCTAGTACAAAAAGAGAAATGAAATTGCTAGCATATAGCATATGTTTGGCTTTAGTAGAAAATGCTAATTTCTCAAAAAAAAAAAAAAAAAAAAGGTTGTGCCAACTTACATTCTTTTTTTTTTGTCTTTTTTGAGACAGGGTCTCGCTATGCAGTTCAGACTGGTCTTGAGCTTGCTTTGTAGCCCAGGCTGGTCTCAAACTCACAACAATCCTCCTGCCTCAGCCTCCCGAGTGCTGGGATTACCGGCGTGCACCACCACGCCCAGCCCCAATTTACATTTTCACCAGCAGTAAGTGTTCCAATTGCTCTACACCTTTACTTACAACATCTATTTAATGAATACATAGCGTTTTATTATATGGATCTTCCACACATTGTTACATGCCATTATTTATAGTTCAGAGATTTTTTTTGTCATAGACTTTTGACACTCATAAAGCCTGAGAACCCTCTCGCAGAATATATGACACAATAACATATGAGCTTTATATTAACACACTAACACCATCTATTAGGTCTAGTTACTATAATAATTCAAAATGAGTATAAATAAAATATGGTGTTTGTGGTTTAGCTCTTTTTTTTTTTTTTTTTTTTTTTTTTGCGGTACCAGGGATCTAACTCATGATTTTGCACTTGCCAGGCAGGCGCTTATGCCACTAAGCAAATCTCCAGCCTGATAAAGAACTTCTTAGTGCATGTGTAGCTCAGGGTTCCAACCTGAGAACTGAAAACATAACTTTGTTGGCTTTTTTGTACTGTTTCTCCTAGAAACTTAAACATATTCTTGACTTTTGCCAATTTCCGGAATGATCTGTTTGTTTTTAAATTTTTATAATAGAACTTTTTACATTTGATAGATATTGGCCACCTCTGTGAAACGTTCCCATTTTTCATTTGTCATGAGCTTTATCATTGGTGGTCTTCAGGATGAACAGATGCTGCATGTCTGCTGAGATGACAAAAATTGCCTAAATAAGGGATAAAAACAGTAAGAGGGGCAGTTTCATCTTTACACTGCCTTGAGAGACTTGTTCACCTAGGTTTGCAACTCCATTTTGCAGGTGAAGGAATAGCCCGCCCCCTCCTCAGAGAGCACAGCCTGGACTCACAGGTGAGACACTGTCAGAGCTGGGCCTCACATCCCCCACCTACTCGAGGCCTCGAAACCCCCAGGGAAAGGGAGTCAAAGGTCCAAGGTGTGCACACACACGGCCCCTGAAAGGAATGTGGGGCTTTGTGGCCTAGGTTTTTCTTTTGTGGCTTTGCATGCCAGCAAAGGGTGTGCGTGTGTAAATGTGCGTGTTAAATGTGCATGTGTAAATGTGCATGTGTGTATGTATGTGTGCTGGAAGCCAGGGGAGTTTTGGGAGTGCTTGTCACTGCTAAGCCATTCTGTAAAGCAGGGCAACCCCTGGAACTTGTGATAAATTTAGCTCCCCTGGTCTCTGTCTCATCAGCTGGAGGGTGGGGACTGGGTTAGGCTCCAAGCAATGTGATTCATGAAGTGGCTTCCTGGGGTTGTCCATGGGCTTAAAAGTCATAAAATAGCTCTGTTCTTACACTACAGATAGACAAACTTGTTGCTTCCCAGCCTTGAAACTAAAAAAGACCAAAAAAAAAAAGGCTTTGCATTGTATATTTAACTGATAGAAGTCTCCAGTGTGGGTGATTTGAAAAGATTTTTGGTCACACGCTCCAGGTGAGGGCTACGTATTACACATGCATTGCAGATTCACGTGCTAATTGGCCTAGTTGAGGCTTTTTGTGCAGGGACGTGCCTGCTGAGCATTTTAACTCAGGGTTTTACCTAACGTCTCTGCCCACGGTCTTAGGTAATACCTGAGACCTCTCACCAAATGACAGCTCCACAAAGCTCAATTTTGGGGAAAGCAAGATAGAACATGCTTACATACATTTACTCGTAATAGTTGCAATATTTTAAAACATTAATTCTTTTTTTTTTTTTTTACAGCTCTATTCCTTCGCCATAAAACATTAATTCTAATACACGATGTTACTGGTGTTTTTGAGCCTAAATGAAGGCAGGTCAAATGCTAGTACAACAAACCCCGAGAGACTACCCAGAGTCTTTCACATTTGTGCTCTACTTTTAAGTGGGTCAAATATTCTTTATTTTGGGCCAGGGATTTAGCTCAGTGGCATAAGCATCTGCCTGGCAAGTGCTAGGTCATGAGTTCAACCCCGGTACCAAAAAAGATGTTCTTTACTTTAAGTGTATTATGCTCAGAAACTGGACACATTGCTCTTCATATGGACATTTTTGTTATGTAAGATATTTATCACAATACAGTTTTACAATACTATACTTTCTGAGTGACTCAAACTTGATATCTTAATTAGTACTTATAAAAAATCTTAGTTTTCAAATTTTTCAGTATTATTAGCAACATCATTTTGTGAAGTAGTAATTTCATAAAAATATAACTAAATTTTCCCTTGGGGGCATTAAAATATGTCCAAAAATAATTTTTTCATTATAAGAGCAACTGATGAGCTCTTTAAAATTTTTAGAAAACATAGAAAGCCAGAAAAATGTCCATTATCTACTTTCTCAAATATAATCATGATTGACATTCTCATCATTTCTTGTCTTTTATGCATGTGATTTTCACAGAGTTGCCAACCCCCTTGGTAATTTTGTCTCTTTATTGTTAACATAACATTTATAAAAATTTGTTTTTATATTTGGTGAATATAGAAACAATAAACAAACTACTAATGTAAGATGAGACTCCCTGCCTCAAGAAATGTTAACTTAGGCTTCCAAAATTTGCAGCCCTGAAGGAGTAATTAAAATGTTGGTCACTGAGCTGGGAGTGATGGCTCACACCTGTAATCCCAGCACTCAGGAGGCTGAGGCAGGAGGATGGATGCAAGTTTGAGATCAGCCTGGGCTACAAAGTGAGCCCAAGGCCAGCCTGAACTGCATAGCAAAACCTGTCTCAAACAAACAAACAAACAAACAAACAAAAAAGTTACTCACTAAACATGGAGATGTGCAGGCTCTCTGGGGTGATCCCCTGAGCATCTGGAGGTGGCATCTTTGCCCCCAGCCATGTATCCTCCTATGCAGCCATCCCTGTGGGTCTCCCTGCAAGCTTCCCTACCCTGGGTACTGGGACTATCACCTAGCAAAGGACTAGGTTAGGACAGAAGAGTGATTTCAATCTTTAAGGAATGGAGAAAATCCAGATAACCGGCTCAACAATCAGATTTTCATTTTTGTTTATTCCCAAGTAGGTAATAACACAAGCGGCGCATATCACCTTACAATCTGAAGTCCTGATTAATGACATAGTCTAATGTGGTCCTCGTGCCAACTCTTCATAGTGAAGGGGACATTGGTGACTTGGTCACACCCTGTTTGTCTGACAAATTGCAGCTCCAGGCATCCAGCCCTGGTCTTTGGAATCCCCAACTGTGCCCCTGGCCCCCTTCTCTGTGCAGACCTGCATCGAGGCAGGCGTAAAATGCCATGCAAAATGTCAGACAAAAGCACAGCTCTCTGTGGCCATGTGGAGATGGAAGATATTTCAATTCAACAGAATGAATGGGCTTATTACAAAATCCTCCTAATTCCTCAGTCAACTCGTCTGAGCACAGCGCTGGGTTTTCACCCCAGCTGACAGGTGCTGCACATCGGGAGGGAAAAGCATGCAGGCCTGGGAGGTGGCTTTGGCGTTCACAAAGGCCACAGGTGTTCTGGGCCGCCTCAGCTTCAGCCTTTTCACACTTTGCCAGACAACAACGACCTGATGATGAAGACTGGTTTGCCTTTCTGAGCCTTCACATGACGGGAAGGATTTGGTGGGTGAAGCAACCTGCATTTTCCTGCCTGGCTTTCCCCTGGGAAAGTAGAACTCACAAAAGCGGCTCCAAAACTTTGGCTTCAGTAGTTCAGGCTTAAATTTGGGTGAAGAAAGGTTAAAAAATAGGATGACATTAAAAGCACCCACTGATCAAGGCTCATGTAAAATTGTGGCTGGAATTTGTTAGTAATGACCAGAGAATAGGAAGGACTGAAATTCTATTTGTTTCTTTAAAACAAACACATTTTACCATGAAAAGTGTGTCCTTGGCCAACAGATGTCCCAAACCAGAGGCTCTCAGGGAGCCCAATCAAAGATTGCCGTCTCCTCTAAAACCTCAGACTTTCCAGACTTTCCCAGTCTGGGTCCAGCTTTCTCATCTATTAGATGACACACAAGCACAAAGTATCCTTCTAGCATAGCTTCTGTGCCTAAGCGACAGCCCCGTCACTGGGGGCCTTGCTCCTGGCTCACAGCACACTGGACGCCTGTTCACGGCTGCAAGAGCTCGCTGCATACTAAGAAGACTGAGGCCTGCGGAGAGGCTGGTAACACGGCCGCACCCCGTATGGGACACAAGAAGGCTCTGAAGGTCCGGGATATGGGACAGAGCGGGCCATTTGCTTGACCTTGGAGGACAGAAAAGAAGCCAACACGTGGAGACAAGAAGGCAAGGGATGGGGAGGAGGCAGGAAGTGAGCTACGCCGGGCTTGTTGCAGCTCCTCACATGGCCGAGCGGGGGCGCTTGTCAGCTCAGGTCTTTCCCTGCCTGGAATCAGTGAACAGCTTCCTTGCTGACCTGCCTAAGGGAGAGAGAAGCAGCCGCGTTCTTGCAGTTCCCCGTCGTTTCTGCCTGCGGTGTCTTAAGTGTTGATGGATATCAGGGTCACAACGCGTCAGTAGGCATAGTGAGCGGTGGGAGGCAGCAGGTGTGGCTGGGCTGCAGAAAGAATTCTGGGCCTTTACTCACGCTGTTCCTCTGTAAGCCTTGCTTTGTGTCTCATCCAAAGCCTCCAGTGGCGACTGTGCAGTGGGTTCTTCAATGTCAAGAGTTAGGGCACTTTTTGGTTTTGTTTTTTTGAGACACCCTGGCTTGGGATCAGTTATGTTGCACAGATTGATCTCCAACTCACAAGCTTTCTGTCCCAGCATCATGGGTCCTGGGGTTGCAGCCATGCACAGCTTTTAAACCTGCATTACAGCAATTTCTCACAACTAAAAAAATAGTGTGACTTCACCCACCTTATTCTCTGGGCCTGGCACCGTGCAATTTTGGTCTCTTCCCCAAAGTCAAAATGACGGAAAAGTAAAATATTTTGAGTCAATTCAGGACATGAAGACAGCATGACAGTGCAACTAAAGACACTCACAAAAGGGGACTTCCAGGACTGCTCCGGAAAGGGGCAAGAATGATAGGGAAAATATGTTTGCAGCAAGCAAGAGAGTTTTGAGGGGGATTGACGGCAATGTGTCTTCTACAGTAATAAAAATGTAAGCATTTGCCACATTTTTGGGTCACACCTCATAGTGTACACACTGTGGCCAGGATTCCTCTCTGCAAGGGCCCTTGCTTGTCTACATGTACAGTGGGGATCATGCCCTTCCCCTCACCGAGCTCAACGCTGTCACGTGGGTTACAAAGGAAGAATTAGGGACCAACTTAGAGAGTGCCTAATCCATCCCTTAGCTTACCAATGAGGAAAGGGGGACGCAGAGAAAGTAAACTGCCTGTCCAAAGTTACCAGAAAGCCAGTGTCTGATCCGGGGCTGCAATCCAGGCTCCAGGAAAGAAGCCTCTTCCTTTCAGCAGGCCGGTGAGATGCATGTCACAAACCATAACATACCATGTAAGTGTCACTCGAGGTCAGCTCTCTTAGGTGGCTAGACTTTACTCTGCCTGCTTGTTTTTCTAAAGTTCTGTCCAAAATGGATGAAGCGCAAGTCTTTCAGCTGGTGAAAGAAGGAGAGGGGTATGGAAATTACACCTGCAAGGGTGGCCTCCGGGCCTAATCCTCTCCTGGCCACCACTGCTCCTGGGCACTATGACCTTGCCCCCCCCCAGTCAGGAATGCAGGGAATTAGCCTTGTGCATAAGGCCACTTGACCTTCTTCAGGGTGATGTGGTGGGGACAGGTGGGGGTGGGGGCTTTTAACCACAAGCGATTCATACCTGGATTGGGTAAACATCTCTAAACCTACAAATCACTCTCAAATATTTGTCCTACTGACTGGTACTTCATTATTCCCAAGTTCTACAAAACTAGAAAACAACTTGTGAGGTTTCCAATCAAAGTTTTCCACAAATCCAAAATGAGATGTCTTCTTTCTTTATCCTATCATTAAAAATAAAACAACAGAATACGCTCTCTTAAGGAACAAGTCCATTGGCACTCTACGGGAGAAAGGTGGTATTTGAATCAGCAAGAGAGGGCAGAAAGGACTGTGGTCATCTTATTCTAAAATAATTAAAGACTAAGACTGTCACCCTTTTCACAGATCTAGAGAACCAAAAATTTTTTTAAAAAATCATAAAACTTAGTAACATTTAAAGGAACCAACCACTTTTCGCTTAAGGCAAAGGAGATATGGTCAGGGGTAAGGTACCACTTGTGAAGGGGCCTCTCTGGCTCTCTGAGGTCTTGCCAGGTGCGGGCCAGGTGTTCTGATCCAGCTGCAGTGTGCCTCAGCCCAGAGGACAGCTCGTGGGAGTTTATGTCAACCTGAATCAGCAGCCACCTCTCCCGTACAATATCAATGACAACCTGATTTGATTACAGTGAAAGTCACAGGCAGCTCTTCACTTTGCGATAGCAGCTGAGACTTAGTTGTAAATATAAAGTCAGGATTTGTGATCCACAAGGCAACTTCTGCTGTCTCTATCTGAATTCATTCAGCAGCAGCGATGGAGAAACTACTCTTCCAGAGCAGCCTACCAGGGCAGTGAGGTGGGGCACCCCACTTCTCCCTTCTGAGGCTCTGCCAGCCAGGAGGAAAGACTATCAATGCTTCTTTCAAAACCAGCGTGCAAGGAAGCGGTTGCTAAGCCAAAGTGCATGTGAGGTAGAAGAATAGTATGAAGGGAAACCCATGGTCCTAAAGAAGGGGAAAATTCATGCAAAGGAGGGAGTTGGGTTAAGAAGGACTCCGGGGGAGAGGGGTGGAGAATGGAGGGTGGGAAAGGCCATTTCTCGTTGAGGAAACAGGAAAAAGCATGGACTGGGGAATCGGTGGAGAAAGAAAGGAGCATTTGGACCCCTCACATCCCGTGGAGCTCAGGATGCCAGAATTTGGAGCATGGTCTTCACCTGCAGGTCCTGAGGGTGTTTCAGGGTGTCCAAGCAGGGACTGACATCATCAGAGGGGCATGACACCAGAGAGGATGACAGTAGCAGTGCCATCCTCAGGGATACGTGACGTCATTTGAGAAGAGTGGGATAGTAAAAGAAGAGTTTTAGGAAAAGAGTCCTGATGGCCATACGAAAGTTGAATCAGGGCTGGGAGAGGGGAGACAAAGCCAATGGAGGAGGTGGCTATGGGATTTCCAGGTGCCATGGCTGGAAAGTGAGGCTTAGAGAAGGGGAGGGAGACTGGCTTGGGGAAGAGAGCTCACTTCTCCCAAAAGGGACCCTTAGCTGTGGCCCCGCAGGAGATCCCCCGGGACAGCAGTGTCCCACCCAGCATGGTACCTCAATGTCTGGGGCTAACACCTTTGGGGAAGGCATTTCAGCGTCCAGGCTCTATCAGTCTTCTCTTTTTAGACCACTACTCACTATATAGCCATCTTTAGGGAGGTGTTTCACTGCTCCAAGACAGTTTTCCATCTATAAAGTGGGGCTGGAGGAACAGTAATAACTTACAGTGCAATTGAGAGGATTGACCTAAACATGCATGTGACAACTCAGGACGGGGCCTTGCAAGGGATAGGGGTTCTGATAGTAGTGTAACTGAAACCTGATCTGAGAGGCCCAGGAGGCTGGGTTGGGGGTGACCTGCCCCCCCCCCACTGGATTTGAAGGAGACTGAACCCTACCGCTGATGCTTCCCTTTGTGTGAAGCTGTCGCCCAGCCTCCATCTGCAGACTCAGTCAGCTCCTGGGCTATTTACTTTTCCCAATTGATGGATGGGATCTCGAGGGCATGGGATAGGCTACACAATGCTGCTGGTCCCTCTCAAGCATCTATTTCCGCTCCACAGAAAGGGGAGTAACGTATGTCTGTGATTCCACGCTTCCAGTAGCCTTAGTGGGATTTCTGGTCTTCGTTTCAAGGTCACACTCCCAGCTTGCTAAGCTTGCAGACCAGGGTTGTGCGCACATTGCCTGGGGAGGTGGTTGCAAGGGTGAAGCTTTTTCTTTTGGCTTCCATGGTTAGACCTGTGGGTGCTACAGAAACAGTTTCTTCTGGAGCTAAAAAGCCAGTTACACAGGTCTTCAGCATAGTGAAATATGGTCATGTAGAACCCAAGGTTTCACATGGGTTCCCTACGTCCCTTTGCATATGTCAAATTTATGTATAAAGCCCCCCCCACTTTTTTGTACCAGGGATCAAACTTACTACCTCGATCTTGCCAAGCAGGCACTTATGGCCCTGAGCTAAACCTCCAGCCCTAGAGCTTCGCCTTTTGTTTGGAAATAACTTCAGGCTTACAGAAAAAGTTGCTCAGTTAGGAAAAGCATCACTTTCGCCCTGTACTTAATTCACCATTTTGACAGTTTGGTTGCCATGTTCTCTAAGCCATGTCTAACCTACTTGAGTGTTAGTTCCGTACATCACGTCCCTTACGCCCTGACTTTTTTCAGTGTATTTGCTAAGATCAAAGTAATTAAAATACATGCAAAAATGTAACAGTGGATGTGAAATTTTCACCAGCTGTTGTCTTATTTCACTTGTTACGGATTCTCCTGATAATGTACTTCCCAGTCGTTTCCCTCCTCAGCCCAGGATGCAGTCCGGAATCGTGCATTACATTTCCATCATGACTCTGATCTGCTGTGATGTAGAACAGTTCTCTCAGCCTTCCCTGACATTAGAATCTTTTGACAATGCTGGCTTTTTTTCTCTTTCTCTTTTTTATTCTTTTGATCGCAGGTTTTCCATTTGGAGTTTTTCTAGTGTTTCCTCATCCGTTTAGATTTAGGTTTTGCATTCCAGGCAAGGCTGGTGCATATGTGATGCTGTATCCTTTCTGGGTATGGCAGTGTCCATCTGTAGATGCTCAGAATCCATCTGCCTCCTATCAGTGAAGCTTTCATCAGCCGGTAAAGGTGAGGTCTGGTTTTTCCATGGCGTAGCAATTTAGTTTTCCCTTGCCACTAATAACAATCTGTGTCTAGACATTCTTTTCTTCTTGTGGTACTGAGGCCTGAATTGAAGGCCTTTATACTGAGCTACCTTCTCGCCCCTTTTTATTTCAATCTTGAGCCAGGCTCTAAGTACTAAGCTGACATCCTACTACAAAGGACAGCCACTTCCTCTCCCTGATCTAGTCATTCATTTATTATTGATCTATTTATTATAGGTGCAGACTCCCAAGTTTGTTTGTGACAAGGTCTTGCTTGGTACCTCAAACTGGCCTTGAAGTCACTGTAGCCCAGGTTGGCCTGGCACTCACAGTGATCTCCCTGCCTCAGCCTCCTGAGTGCTGGGATTATAGGTGGGCACCACCATGCCTGGGTCTTATTTTTGAGTTGAGTGTTTGTTAGTTTCCTAATTATTTTGATGCTCAAATTGTGCCCATTTCTTTGGTGAAAGAGCCTTCCAGCTGAAGCCCTGTCCTCTCGGCAGCCCCCACAAGCACTGTTTTCAGCACCTTCCTTCCAGCACAGCACAGCACGGTTGCAGGCCCGGGGAGAAAGAAAAATGTGGAAATAGAAAAATGAGATGAGTCCTCACAGATGGATACGGATGATTTATATTGGCAATTGTAGATATAAAGTAAGAGTAAATTCTCCTGCATGCAAAAAACGGAAAGAAATAAACATGTATAGGGGAAAAAAGGAGTAGAAGAATAGAGGTTTAAAGATATTCTATAAAAATTTAGATTTTTTTTGTACTATTTTTTTCTGTATATTCTAATTTTTAAATTTTTACTAGTGCATGCTGGCAGTACATAATGTACAGAAACGTCTCTCAGTACAAGGAGTTTACAGCTCTTGGGGTGACGCTGGTACACGGATCTAACACATCGTAATTCATTTTTCTGTTCCCTTCCCTCCCACCTCCTTCCTCCATCTCTCGGTCCCCATACCATTTCTACCTCTTATTATTTATCTTTTATTTTGCTCTTTAATGATGCTTTGAGTTTTCATACAGGAGAAACCTGTGTCTGACCCACTTCACTTTACAATGTGGTCCCCAGTGCGTCCACTTTCCCACCCGTGCCGCTCAGTTATCTTGTGGCCGAGTAGTGCTGCACTGTGTGAAATACCGGGTTTTCTTTACCCGCTCGTCTGTTGATGGACATACAGGCTGCTTCCAAGATGAAGCTATTATGAATTGTGCTGCTGTAAACTTGGATATGCATGTGTCCCTATAATATGATGTCCTTAACTCTTAGGAAAATACTCAGAAAGGGAATAGCTGGGTCAAGTGGAATTTCTAATGAAACTTTACTTTTCAAGGAATCTCCACGCTGATTTCCATAATAGTTAATTGTACTAGTTATTTTCCCACCAACAATGTAGAAGTTTCATTTTTTTGTATATCCTAAATTTTGTGTTGAGTATGTATTATTTTTATAATGGGAAAAATCTTTAAAAGCTCTTTCTTTCTTGTTCAGCACTGGGAATTAAGCCCAGCACCTTTAGCCACTAAGCTACTTCCCCAGGCCTTTTTAAATTTTATTTTGAGACAAGATCTTGCTAACTGCCCGGGCGGGGCTCAACTTGCATCCTCCTGCCTCAGCCCCCTGACAAGCTGAGATTACAGGCGTGCATCACCACAGCTGGATAAAGGGATTTCCCTTTTTGAGAAAAATGGAGCAGGCTGGCTCTGAGAATGTCACCAAAGGATGAACAGGTATGGTAAAAATTGCTAATGAAAGCACACCAA